ATATTTTAAAATGTTAGAAAAAAAAAGTGGTTTAGATTTTAAATGTATTTATTTTCCATACCGATCAGTCAGATGAAAAATTTGAACGTGTAAACGATGTATCAATTAATCTTTATAGTTTAAATGATAAAGATCATATTTTTCCTCTGTATTTATGTGATATTGAAAAAAAAAAACTTTTGATCTATTTTTGTTCAATAATGATGAAACATCGCATAACTGTTATATAAAAAATTGTTCAAGATTCGTTAGAAGTCAGAAAACTAAAAACTGTTCCAAGCTAATTATCTGTAAAAGATGCTTTACTACTTTCGGGAATAATCCATGTAAGAGCAACCTTTGGGGCATGAAAGGATTGATTGAACATCAGCAAAATTGTAGAAAGAAAAAATTAGGGAGACCTATAATGTTTGAAGAAGGAGATGATGAATTTATTTATTTTAAAAATTATAAAAATACTAAAAGGATACCAATTGTTATTTATGCAGACTTCGAATGTATTTTAACTCCTAAAAAACCTAATGAATACATGCAGAGTTGTGAAAAAAAAAACACATGTTACACATTTACATGAAATTATGAGCTATGGGTTTTATGTAAAAGTCAACTATGATATTATACCAAAGTCCAAAAGAGCTAGTAAAACAGTTTAAAATTCCTAGAAAGGTGATTATTTATAGAGGTGAAAATGCAGCTAAAAAATTTATGGAAAATATGATTGATATCGGAAATAATATCAAAACACTTTACGAAACTAATACACCGATGAATAAACTAACTGAAAAAGAAGAAAAAAATTTTCAAAGAATTAAAAGATGTGAAAAACGTTCAAAACATTTAAAAAAAAATAATTTAATTAAAGTTCGAGATCACTGTCATTTTACTGGTAAATATAGACAATGTCTTTGTCTCGAATGTAATTTTCAAATAACTAATCCGTCATTCATTCCAATTTTCTTTCATAATTTATCGTATGATAGTCATTTTATAATTCAAGAACTCGGTTGCGATGATCACAATATTCAAGTTATTCCTAATTCATCAGAAAAATATATATCTTTTAGCACGGAAATCGCATACAAATTTAGTATACAATTTGTTGATACATTCCGTTTTATGAGTGAGTCATTAAGTAAACTTGCAGAAAATTTATCTGAAGATAAGTCGAGATTTAGAGAAACTCTTAAAATATTTTCTACGAAAGTACTAGATTTAGTTACACGAAAAGGAGTCTTCCCCTATGAATATGTCGATAGTTGGAGTAAACTAGATGATACTTTTTTACCATCAAAGCTAGAATTTTATAACTCTTTAACAGACGAGGGAATTAGTGATGAAGATTATAAACATGCTGAAAATATATGATGAACTGATCACATGGATTACATATCTCGACTGTGTGAATTTGTACGGGAAGTCTATGTTAACAGAATTACCTTTTAAAGATTTTGAATGGGTTGACGATCTCGACATAGATGTAACCAAAATTGCTGATGATTCTAAAGATGAATATATTATATTAGAAGTTGATATTGAGTATTCTAAACATCTTCATAAAAATCATAAAGAGTTTAACTGGGAATGCTACCATATTATCTGTAAATTATTTTCCATCTATAAACCTTTACGAGGACTCAGAAATAGCTTTGTTATGTTTACAGTCATTTAATTCATTCAAAATATTAATGAAAATAATAATACATTTTCTATACAAGTAGTTGATAATGAAAACAATAATAATCCTATGATATGTTTTATTACATTGGAAGAGGGTTGTTATAAGATTGAAGATATTAAGCAACGAGTTAAGAAGCAAATAGATGTCTATAATAAGAAAAACTTAACCAATTTAACATTCGACATTACTGTTGATCCTAATGATTTCAGATCGTATATAAAATGTAATGGGATAGTAACACTTTGAGTATCCATATAGTATAGCACCTGTATTCGGTTTTGAAAAACGAGTATATAAGCTATACTATGAAATTCTTCGATCGGAAAAAGCTGTAAATTTAAACACAATTAATTCTATAAAAGTAATGTGCAATATAACTCAAGGATCATTCAACAACCATCTTCAAAGTCATTCGATTTATGAGTTTTTCCCGAGTGAAAGGACAGGGTCGAAAGTAATTCAGTCACCGCCAAATTTAATATATTACAAATTGAATAAAACAAATATTGATTCGATAACCGTTCAATTAGTTGATCAAGATCATAATCCGATTGATAATTTTGGTGAGGCATTGACAATCGTGTTACATATTAAACGTTACGGGTCTTGAGATGGGACTGAAATTCAATATAAACCCGCTACTTCGGATCAGCACAACTAGTCATAAGACTAAAGTGCTACCAGCAATATCAAATAAAATAAAAAAATTAACGGTAAAAAATAAAAAAATTTTACAAGTTCTGGGTTATCAATTAAAGCAGAATGCCTGAGAGTGATATTTTAGATATAACTTCACAGTACGAAACGGATTCTAAAATTACGAAAATTGAATATCATTTATACACACCGTATACTCCCAAGTAACACCGGATATTCATATCATGGTCTATCGTTCTTCAATTTTGTTTATTCTATTAATAATACATTTAAATCATATATAATTATTTCTAGAATATTCGCTGAAGATTTATCTAAATAATCACAATATATTCATGGTAAAATATTGATCTAAAAAGAATATTCGCTGAAGAATATGTATTACTTATTCTACCATAACTGATGAAATGAATATTCCGTTAAAAATAATAAGTTCTTTTTTTTTTTTTATTATTCATTTTTGAATATCCATTGAATAATCTGAATTGAATATCCATAAAAAATATCCAATTAAGAATACTTAATGAATAATAGTTACCATCATATGTAATGGATATTCATCTAATAATAATACATAAATAATTCTTTATTATTTATAAAATTACAACGTTTGTTTATATATTATATATAAAGTAGGTAGGTACTCGTACTCACTAATCTATTATATTTAAATAATAATAGGGATTATTATTGAACACCAGGGTTTATTAAATGCGTGTGAAACTTTTGAGACTCATAATAATATTGTGGTATTGCTATTATTGTTATCATTGAATAAATGTGATTTGTTTTTATAAAATTAACGTCCATGGATTTCCTTTGTTTATAATAAATAGTAATGTGCGTCGCGCGGTCATTTCGTTCATCGTTGTTATAAATCTGTGAACTTATTTTCACATTCAATTTCACACGCGCTTGTTCGCCGTTCGAACGTTTTGATTGACGTCATCTAGCCATATATGTTTAAATGAATAATATAATATCGAGTATCATATGAGTTGTTCGTTTTATTATAAGTCGGTAAGTAAGCATTTGATTAATTATTATTATATATCATGTTACCTATGTACTTATATGTTAACCTTTATGAGGTAGGAATTCAGCCCGTGTATTAAATTATATCGAGCTTAATTTTTGTTTTTGCTTGGAATGTTTTGACCTGAGAAGTGACCTCTGAATCAAAATAGGACTGTGCTTTTTGATGCCAGTCCGACCATGTAAAAAATAATTTAATTTGGTATTTGATGTTAAGTTTGTAAAATACTCGTTCACACATAACTTGTGTAGGTAGGTACCTACACGGGAATATAAGAACGTATATTTGAACATTTTGAAAACTATATTGAGTGTATATAGTATATTATTAGAGACTACCTATATTATAATATGTACAAAAATGACGTTTTGAATAGGACCTATTAAAACAGATTTATCATTAGTTCAAAGAGAATTTGAATTAAGTACCTATATGTATTTTAAAATAATTGCAATCATTTTCTTCTCAAAATCTACTAATATCAAATCTAAAATCTTATACGCTAATCCGGTCTGTTGGGCAATAATAGGATATAAACAGTGTATATAATAAGCTGTATCATTATACAAATTAAAAAAATATCAATAATATTGGCAACTTTTTCTAAGGCTGGTTATACAATTACAGATCGACGCAATCGATTGTCTGTCAAAAATACAGAACAATTATTATTTTTAAATAATAATCTTTAAATTTATTTACTATAACTTGTAAGTTCATTTTTTTTTTAATTGTGTACGAGCTGTAATATTTATTATTTTATTATATTGACTAAAGTTACACATTTTTATTTAATTATGTTTGTAATAAAAATTATTATTATTTATTAGTTATAATTATATAATTATTATAACAGGACGTTGTGCTGATTGTGGTTATTCGGTTCGGTATTGGTAATCGGTACTCGGTACCTAATACCAATACCGAACCTTAATATGATACTATAATAAAAAAGTACCGAAAGGAACGAAGGAACGAGTCATTTGGAATCGTTCCTTCTGTGAACCTGGAACGAAAGTAACGATTCACTAAAAGGAACGAAAAATCCCATCACTAATTGGCATACAACAATTTATAGATGATCTTAGGTAGGTATCTGTTTATTATCAAAATTCAAAAATATTTGGCGGGGTAAGCTACTCGGGGTCTGCTGGTTTACCCGCCGGGCGAAAGTACAACTGGTCCACCGACAGCGCTGTCGGCGTAGAATATTCTATACTCTGTTCAAAATAAGAAACCTAGACGGCGGCCAGCTACTGCGCAGGGGCGTGGCTAGACTAATAGCACGGGCATAAATCGATGACACCGCAGCGCTTCGGCGGGAGCGACTCATTAGTCTAGTGACATGAACACATAACTTAAAATGCATTATATACCTTGTTCACGCCGTGCGGCGAGGCGTGTGTGCGTACTTTTCCGTACGTTAGCACATTATACAACCAATTTATTTTGTTTTCTGATTTTTATTCTGTTACCTTATGTTTCAATGTATATTTATATTTTTGCTGTTACCAGGTGTAAAATGCGTACAATCGTAAAAAAACTATTTTGTATTGTTAAAAATTATATTATAATACAAAATAAACAAGAATAAAAAATAGATAATACAATTATACTATACAAAAAAAATTAGTCAGAAGAGTCATTCGATGTGTCTCCTGTAATGGTTAGCACACACGGTTCCATTCCATCAATAATCTCGTCCATGATGTCGTCAACTTTCCAAATATTGTTTTCTTCATCAATCACATGCTTGATAAAATTTTGCCAATTTTCTGGCGTAACTCTGTCAATTGCCGTATAGAGAAGTTGGCGGACGTCGTTAGCCTTAAATGTTGTGTTCTCCCGTTTGACGTAGCCTTTTACCATCGCCCACGCTAGTTCAATTGGATTGAATTCGCAGTGGTACGGTGGTAATCGGAGAACGGTGTGCCCTGCGTTGTTAGCCAAGTTGTCGATAACATACGATTTCTCGCGTGGTTTTAACTCCCGCACCTTAGCTAAAAATTCAGGCTTTAGCATTGGCCTGTCGAAAGTAACTCCTTTAGCATTCAGCCACTCCAATATCACGGATTTTCTTGCACTTGAAGTAGGATATTTTTCGGTTTGGACTGAATGGTAGGGTGCATTGTCCATAACAATAATAGAACGAGGATCAAGTCGAGGAAGAATAGACTGAAACCACTCTTTGAAATTATCGCCGTTCATTTCATCGTGGTAGTCAGTGCTATTCTTTTTGGACTCAAAACATAACAGCCCACCCTCGAGGAATCCTTTGTCTGAACCGATGTGTAACACAATCAACCGCCGCCTACGAAAACTGGTCGCCGCCGTCTAGGTTTCTTATTTTGAACAGAGTATAGAAGCGGCTACCTTCCCCGTTCACCGTTCACGCCACGCGGTATTTTCGTTCGACGGTCTATCGCCTTTGCGACTTACGTATTCTGTTCCATGATGCTGGTGTATGGACCGTTAAATTCGTTATAGCTGTTATATAGCCGTTAAGTGTTAACTTTATTGCATTGATTGATTGATTTGACTTTTGGCCGTTGGCGTGACGAAGCGTTTCGTCTTTCCTCCATCGTGTACCTAGTGAAACGTGAAAGTTTACTCTTAATTCCGAATTCGTTGTGCTGCCATCGGCATCGACCCTGTGCCGACAACTATACAGTTGTAAGTACCTAGGTATTGTACCTATATTAATTATTGTTTGAATATATTATAGTTAACTATAAACTTAAAATTTAAATAATATTTTACTGTATGTAGGTATCTATAAATAATCTAGATAGGTACCTACTTATTAATATAGAATTATTAAGCCCCAAATACAACGTGAATCGTAATTACTTTTTTTTTTTGTAATGAGTTTTCACTGTATTTAATAGTTTTACATAATATGTTAACGTAGGCTAATAATTCAGTTTTTATATAATTATTGTTATGAGACCAACCATTTATTTTTTTAACTCTTTATCTGTTTAGCTCAAGAATAAAATAAGTGCAATAAGTGCAATAAGGTACTTATATTTGTTTTATAACTTTAAGGGCCATTTTATCAATCATCAGTTATATAGTGGCTTAACTAATCTTGGTTTTTAATTAACTGAAGATTAAAATAATTTTGATTTTATCAATTAAATTTAATCCGAGTTTAAGTAATCTGGGTTTTATAAACTAATGATTTATTTACTACCAATTGAAGTTAGTAACTCGTTAATATAAGAACGAGCCTAATTTCATATTAGTAGGTATATTGTTTTCTGTTATCATTTTAATCTTACAGATTTTTGCACATGATTTTGATTTATGCATAATGTTACTTCTTGGTGACGAATTTGTCAAATAATGTCAATATTTAATATTTTCAATATAATAATATAGCAGTGTATAATAATATAATATAATAATCATGAGTTTAAAAACCAAGAGAGAACGCTCGACAAATTTCATAGACAGTGAATTGGAACTTCTAGTCGACCTAGTGGTAAAGCAAAAAAAAATTCTAGAAAATAAAAAAACTGATGCTATAACTGCAAATATCAAGAATAAGACATGGGAAGTATTGACTAAAACATTTAACAGTAAAAGCCTTAATGGATACCGCAGCAAAAAATGCTTACGATCAAAGTATGATAATTTAAAAAAGACTGTTAAAATAAAGTTGCGGGAAGTAAAATCAAAACCATGTCCAACTGGAGGAGGACCAGCTGCCTCACAGAAAACTATAGAAAAACTATCATTTATTGAAGAAAAAATAAGATCACTGAACCCTTTGGCATTCAATGGTACAACCTCACAGTTTGATAATGACTGTATTGACAATGAAAGTATGAAGGTAAATATTCTTTACTGTATGATTTTATCAATGTATACAGATTATAAAACTATAAATAAAAAATGCAAAATGTACATTTTGTATTGTATTAATTATAAATTTATTCAGTTAATAGATGAATTAGACTTGGAAAATGAAGAAGTTGAAATTGTTATGGATGAGGTTGATTGCCAAGAAAATAATAGTGAGGTAAACATAATTTTTTTTTTAATTTCCTTTAAAATTATAATACTATTTATAATACAAAAATTAATTATTATTTATCTTAAAACATTAAGGATTTGTTTAATAACGAAATAGACTGGGCAGATTATACACCAGCTAAGTTGAAGACTCCTATTTCTAAACAGTTATCACATTCTCTTATTACACCTCAAAATCGTTCAAGTATTGTTTGTGAACCTAGTATGTATGACAATGAATCCTCAGACAATGATTTAGAAGAAAGTAAGTAGAGAGTAACACACTAAAATAATGATATGTAGTAAATATACTTATTATTCATAGAATTATCATAATATCATGTTAAATTTAGTTGAAAACCCTCAAAAACATTCTGCAACAAAAGGAAAAAGTGTTTATAGAAGAAAACAGTCAAGGTTATTATTTGTTATTTAAATTTGGACATTAATTTTTAAATTGTATATGGTTCTCTTTTTCAGCATTATTAATGTAAATAAAGATTGGTCAGAAGTTGCCAAAATAAAAACAGATGTTTTGAATTTAAAAAAGAAGTTGTTGGAAGAGGAACTTGATTTCAAGAGAAAAGAAAACACACTAAAATTAGAAAAATTGTCAGTTGAATTGGGTGCACTTAAAAAACAAAATATATAATCTATGTTATAACCATGGTGAATACACCAAACATTTTTGATTACCTAGGTTAATAGTTATTTTTTATGTTATGTACTACTAAAAATGAAACAAAAGACTGTTCACAAATTAACTCACTATAATTTAATTATTTATTATGTTATGTACTACCCACTAAATTGAAACAAAAGACTGTTCATAAATTAACTCACTATAATTTAATTATTTTTTATGTTATGTACTACCTACTAAATTGAAACAAAAGACTGTTCATCAATTAACTCATTATAATTTAGTTATGTTTTGTGTTATGTATAAAAGTATATTAAATTAGTATATTATATTTAAATAGAAATAAATATTAACATTGTTAACATAATATGTTGGTGTTTTTAATTTTGTAATATATATATTATATATATAGGTACTTGACTTGATATACCACCGGGAGGGTCTCAGAATTAAAGTTGATCACACTTAACACATTCCACCAAAGTGTCTCAGAATAATAGTTGATCTTGTTCTATCATTTGTATGATTGTTTACATTTTCATTTATAACATTGATGTTTACAGAGTTCATTAAATTTATTTGTTTTTGGATTTCTTGTGTGGTTGGTGGTGTATCTTCTTTTTGTAAGATAGCAATATTATGTAAAACAGCTGTAGCTATGATAATTGCTTCTACTTTACTAATATGTAAACGAATCCCTAATGATAGAACTGGAAACCTCCCTTTTCCAGACGCCATAAGAACGTTCGACCACATTTCTCGTTCTTATTTGTGATTCTTGAAACAAATGTTCAGCTCTTGTGACTGGGTTTAATAGAGGTGTAATTAAGTAGTTTTTAACTGCATAACCTCCATCACCAACAATCAAACCATTTCCAAATTCTCCTGCTTCTAGACGTCTATAAATTGAAGAATTGAAAAATACAGTTGAATCATGTGACGATCCAGGCCAACGAGCTACTATATCTTGGATCATTAATTTATCATCAGAAATAGTTTGAACATTTATAGAAAAAAGTTTTTTCTATTTCTGTAGTTTTCAGCGTTTTCTCCACCTGGTGATGATATTTTGATGTGTGTGCAGTCAATAGCACCAATGCATCGTAGAAATTTTGCTTTCAAATAAAATCTATTCTGGACATCAGAAATTTCATTAGCATTACTAGGCATTTTAATAAACTGTGGTCTGAGCCTTGCTAAAGCGATATTCATTTTTTTTATTATATTTGATGCAGTTGAGTAATGTATTCCAAATAATTCACCAACATTTATTAAATATGCGTCTGAGGCATAAAACCTTAGTGTTAATAAAAGTTGTTGCTCTGCTGTGACAGCACGATTTCTGTATAGATAATAAAAGTAGGTATACAATTTGAATTAAAAATTGAGGAACATATGAAACATTTTAAAGCTGTATGTAAGATTACAGAAAAATATTTAAAAGTTGATAATTTTTAACTGAATCCATAAGTTGCATAAGTTGGTTTATAACTTATTAGATACTAATTACCTATATTAATAATTATATATTATATTATATATATTTATATATATATATATATATATATATATATATATATATATATATATATGTGTATCAACAAGGGGGTGCTAGGGGGACTTAGCACCATCTGACTCAAAATTAGCAAACCCAAAATTCCAATTAACAATAAACTTTATGAAAAAACTAAAACTGAAATTTTGGAAAAACTTTCTTACGAGTTGTTTTACGAAAAAACAGTGAGGTATAGGGCTACAGACATCGGAAATTAAATTGTTTATCGTGATCAGTTACATCCATCGTATATTTTGAATCTTTTAAAAATACGAAATTCGATGTTTTTGAAACATAGTTTTTGGTTTAACTATTTTTGAATATATAATAATAATATAATATTTTTTTTTTTACTTTTGACCCTCACAGTACAAACTTATTCTATTTCCTATCAAAAAAAATGCTGTTGAAGAAAATCAAAGCATTTTTGACAGACACAAAATAAAATAAATAAAAACATGCATCATTGTAAAATTGATACATTCATTGCTCCGCTAAGAATCTAAAAATTATATTTTAATCAAGGGGCATAGCTTTAAAATCCTCCCCCCCTCCATTCAATGACTGACGCTCATGCCCCTGTGGTGCTAAGGAGACTATAGCAGTATAGCATTCTCGACATTTTGTTAATACCTGTTATTTTTGTTTTACCTTTGTGTAACAGTTGTTACTTCTTGTTGAACCATTTCTAATACAATTTTAAATGTATTTTTACTTAGACGGAATCTGGCAAAAAAGTCTTGATCGTCCCATTTATTCAAATGATCTATTCTTGTTGACAATAAATACGGTCTTCGACGTTTGTTCAAACATTGGTTCATATAACCCAAAAATTCTATTTCTTCATCAGAACTACTGTCACTACTACTGCTGCTACATAAATAAGTCATCTTAAGTACCTATTAAATTAAATGGTAGGTACTTGCATTCAAATAATTAACAATTATAAAGATACCTACAAGTCAACGAATAAAAAAATCTTTAATATTAAAAGTAAAATCAAACAAAATGTAATCACATACCAAAATAAATAAGATTACTGATAATATTTCAGCTAAACTCTAGTTAAACTCTTTAACTGGCCAAATATCTCGGATTAATTAATTTGCAGTTAAACTTCGGTTAAAATATTAATCAAGTATTAATAAAATCACATTTCTACTTTAACTGAGGATTAATCTTAACTGGAGATTAAATTCTCTTAACTGGAGATTGATAAAATGGCCCTCAGTAATTAATGTGATATTAATAGTACTTACCTACCATACTAATATACACTAGGTATTTATATAAGAGACAATTCTATTAAATTAGTTAAAATATCAGTTTTAATTATTAAAGTTTTCAATAGTTACATAAATATATTAACTTCCAGTACAATTTTATTATTTTGTGGTCTTATTTCAATTTGTATTATATTAAATACACAAAAAAAGAATCTGAAATAGTTTATATAATTTCTAATTTGGAATTTTTTTATTTTTTATTTGTAGTTAACTATGGATTCTGAAAAGTGTAATTCTATTAAAAAAATGCGCCTAACTTCTAAGTCCCAATTTAATAAAAATATAAAACAGCAACTTAAAACTTTGGATGTTATAAGAAAAAACAATACAACATTAACTATTTCATTACCTACTCAATGTAATCCTAGTACTGCAGCAAGTACTTCATATCAGCCTAATTTTGTAGGTTTGCCAAATGATTTCTGTGTTGTAAAAAATAATGTTTCAAATATATCTGGTGTTTCATTAGATACATTCATTGAAAATGATGATGTTTCTTTTACAAAATTTGTTTCAACTAGTCCAAAATGTAGTTCATTAAACAATTTTGTAAATGATAATGTTTTTGGAAACTCAAAAATACCTATTCCTGATCATTTGCGAGAATGGGCTATTAGGAATAAAATTTCTCATGTTGCATTAAGGGAATTATTATCAATTCTAAAGGAAATACCAGATTTAAGCAGTATTCCAAAAGATCCTAGGACTTTTTTAAAAAAACCAAGAGAAACTATTTTGCGTGATATAAATCCTGGAAAATACTACCATTTTGGTTTAGAAAGTGGTCTTACAAATATGTTAAAAAAAGTAAATGTTTCCAATATTCCTGATGTTATTAATGTTGCTATTAATATTGATGGATTACCTCTCAGTGACTCATCACAAAGTCAAGTATATCCTATTTTGTGTTTGATAACAAATGTTGATATTTTATTACCTTTAAATATATTTTGTATTGGTATCTACCATGGGTATGATAAACCGTCAGATTTTAATGAATTGCTAGAAGATTTTGTAAATGAAGCTGTTAATTTAACATTAAATGGTGTACACATTGATGATAAATATTTCAGTTTCAAAATGTCAATGTTGTTATTTAATGCGGTTGCTAAGGCTAGTGTACTTCGAATTAAGGGACATAGTGGATATTCCTCCTGTTCGAAATGTATGCAAGAGGGAGAATATTTAGATCATGTTGTTTTTCCTGATATGACATTTAATAAAAGGACTGATACTGATTTTATTAATCAAACTGATCCAGAACATCACACTGGCCAGACAATTTTACAAAAAATTCCCAATTTATGCCTAGTTACTGATGTCCCATTGGACTATATGCACTTGATATGTCTGGGAGTTGTTAAAAAGTCATTAGTTAACATATGGTGTTTTGGTCGACCTCCTCATAAATTACAATCGAGATCTGTTAATATAATATCTGATGCATTACTAAGCCTTATTAAATATATTCCTTACGAGTTTGCAAGAAAACCAAGGCCTATTAAAGAAGCTAAACTATACAAAGCTACAGAATTAAGACAATTTCTTTTATATACTGGAGTTATTGTTTTAGAAAATAATTTAGATAAAAATAAGTATGAACATTTTTTAACTCTTCATGTTGCTATACGTATTTTATTGTCAGATTTATTAATGAAAACAATGACCGATTACGCTGAAGAGCTATTAAAACATTTTGTTCTATCATCTAAATTGATTTATGGTCCTCAAATATTATCCCATAATTTTCACAACCTTTTACATATTACTGACGATGCTAGAAAATATGGAAACTTAAATTTATTTAGTAACTTTTCTTCTGAAAATTACCTTCAAAAAATTAAAAAACTTTTAAGAACACATAATAATGTTTTATCTCAAATAGTTCGACGTTTATCAGAAGAAAGTACTTTACACACATTACTAGAACATAAAATAAAAAAAGGTAGTTTTAAATTCAAAAAAGAACACAGTGATGGAATTTTAATAGATGGTACTACTGATCCTCAATTTAAAGAAGTTATTTTTTCCAATTTTAAATTAAGTATCAATTTACAGAATTCTTGTTGTAAATTAGATTGTAATTCGATAATTGAAATTTCAAATTTTGCTTACTGTAAGAAACTGGATCAAGTTGTTGTTATAGGTCGAAAATATAACAATGTAAATAACTTGTACACAAAACCTTTGAATTCTTCATTAATTGGCATTCATCTTGTTGATGGTTTAAGTGAATGTTTTTCATATTGGCCATTGCCAAACATTCTTCATAAATTAATTCGTTTACCTCACGCTAAAGGGTTTGTAGTAATGCCACTACTTCATACTGAAGAGTGAAGAATAATATATTATATATAGAATAAGCTAACATTTCTGTACATAATTAATTAACCATATATATATATTCTGTAAATACAATTTATATTATTAAGTTACAGTTACTAATCATTAAAAGATGTCTGCCGGCTGGTATGTTGTAAAATTTAAAAATGAAAAAAATATAATTGAAGTAATTCCAAGTAATTGGATTAAGAACTTTGAAGCATGTTTCTGGCCTTTAAAATTTGGTTCAATTAAATTGCAATCGGCCATAAAAAACCGTGCAAATCCAGAAAAAGATTGGAAATTGTATCCCATAAAAGTCATATGCAACAAAATGTTTACCGTGTATAAGGATGCTTCTAAATTTGCTAATGAGACCCTTGCTCAAAGTTCATCAGAAAGTGAACAACTAACTGCTAAAAAAACATCAACTAAACGCAAAAAAAAGAATAAACAAATTGATTGTAGCAGTGGACCAAGTAGTGATGAAAACCTATCAGATAATGAACTTCCACCATTCCCAAAATTCAAAAGTAAGATATACTTTATTAATTCATTTGTTTTTCCTAAGATACCTTTATATTATATTAAAATACAATTTTTTTTTTTTTTAGAAAATGATTCCAAAGAAAACGAATCCAGTATAGATGTTTCACATAATATAGAATGTAGTCTAAATGATGATTTAAACGTGGTATCTAATGAAAATCAAAGCATTTTTGGTATGTTGTTTTTTTTTTTTAATTGTATCATGCATGATTTGAATATGATACATGTTAGGCAATCAATTGTTTAGCTTTTAAATTAAGTTCTTCTATATATCTTAAATAATTATTTTTGTTGTTTGCAGTTATCGATGACGAAGATAACCAAAATATTGATCTCAGTGATGGTTTTAGATGTATAATATCTAATAATCAAAACTGTGTCTCTTCAGGTATAATAAGAATATTTTTATTGGTAATAATACCAAGTACGGTTACATTAGCTTCAATAATTAAAAAAATTCACCTATTTATTAAATATAAATTTCTCTGCAATGGTTTAATTTTTAATTTCACTTAGTATATCATTAGTGATTTTAATTGTTAAAGACAATTCATATTTGACTTGAGTGAAGCAATATAACTAAAATGATAAATAATCAACTAATCAGTGTATTAATATCAATTATAATCCTTAGATGAATCATTTACAGTTATTGATAACAATGACATTGGGGTTAGTAATGGATCAGACAATTTGCCATCTGTTAGTGGTAACAAAAACCAAAACTACAATTTTCCAGGTACAGTTATTTGAACATTTTTGAACATAAAACTTATTTTGTATACAACATACTTTAAAATTATATTAGGTACCCCTTAAATATCCAAAGTGTAATGCAAAGTGTGGATCTAGACCCAAAGAATATTAATATTTGTTATTTAAAATACTAATTAATGTAATTTGACTTAATTTCATTCAGTGGTTAGACAGATCCTCCCTTCTTATTTAAGGCAAGATTATGAGGTGTCTCTAATTTAAGTCTCCGAAGTCTAGGGGGGGGAAGCTTAACAAGACATTTATTACCTATCTCAATATTCAATATAAATTCGTTTTTATTTGTCTTTCAAATGAAATATATAAAAATAAAATAACTTTAAAATTTAAATACATTTTTTTTAACATTTCAGGATATGAATTGAAATTTTTTTTTACTAAGCAGGCATAATAAGTGTAGGTAGTATTATTTTTCTTAGGAGGAATTTGTTTTTACATCCCATTAACTGTTAATAATCAAATAGGTGTGTGAAAGAAAAATATAATATATGTTTAGACATTAGTCCTTGTGGGGGTCTTAAAACAGTTTGGTTAGATTACAGACTTTGGTGAACACTCCTGAATGCTCCTACATTTTTGTTGACTATAGTCCCCTTTAAAGTGTTCCCCACTTTAACCACTGATTTTATTTTGAATTTTTACAAATTGTCCAAGTCCTAAACACTACATTTACATTGAATTAAATAATAGTATTTGTTTAATTTATTATTTCACAAGATCTTGTGTTCTTTGCTTTAATCTTAAATATTTATCTAGATATATATTTTAAATTTTACTGTACATGTTTATCAACATTAGACAATTATATGGTTTTTAATGAATTTCTCTACTTCATACATTATAAGTAAAATGTAATTTTAAATTATTCTTGATTTAGAAGACACAGTTAATAATCAAACTGCAGTGACCATGCAAGAAATTAATCTTAGTGATATAGATTTTGGGAGTTTAGTGTCAGTTCCTCAAAACAAACAGAAAACTCACATTTCTTCAGGTAGTTCAAAGAATTTGAAAAATTGTTGTACAATATTTTTTTTAATGTTAATAATTTACATTATAATTAGCTTAGTTATAATTCTAATCAGTTATTTCTATTAAATATTCTAGCTAACATGTTATTATTTTATCAATCATAAACATTATATTACCTATTAGGTATCTACGTAGTAAAAAAATACTGTACCCACTTTTAAAAATACTAAAATAATTGTATGTTAAATAATAAGCAAATGTATAATTTTTTAAACATGAAACATTAGTGTCAGCCTGCTGGTTGCTTGGTTCAGTTTTAAATGTTCTTATTAGGTAATTTACACTACCACATACCTAAATATATTATTATGATTATTATTATAGAAGTTGAAACACAGATCTTAAGACAACTTATTACTTTAAACGCCAGATGTAAAGAACAAGGTGACTACCTTCATACAATAATGATGGTAGTAAACAACATTCAAGATAAACAAACTTCATCTATTGCAGTATCATCAGCTACTAATGATGAGCTTGAAAATGTATGTGCAATGCTTCCGATATCAAATGAGTTATCACTAACAAACTTTAAAGAAACTTTGATTAACAATAAACCATTATATGATAAAATGGTAAGTTATTATAGGCAAATTATAACATTAATTTAAATAATTGTGTATAAAAATTTGTTTGAAATTTAGGTGAAAATGTTGGCCTTGCTTGGTGGATCTAATTTTAAAGAGTCAGTCAGACGGATATTAAGAAAGTTAATAACCAATGATTATGCTAAATCTTTCAGTTATACGGGGCACAAGAATAACAAAACTGCTTTGAACAATACTATTCTAGCATCATTACTTACTAGTGAGCATTTTAAATTATTTTTTATTCATAATTTGTTTTTCAATATACAACCCTATTCCCAGACTTAAGTATTTCACAAAACAATAAATAATTACAACAAAATTATTGTTATTGTTAAAATTGTTAAAAAAAAATAACACCGCTTATTATGTCAAAAGAAGACAAATTATTCAAATTTTATTTAGAATATATTTAATAAGTATTTTATCCAAAACAGGCTATTTCCTGTTACCTATTATTTATGAGTTAAAATATTATGCAAAAGAATATTGTTTGTAAGTTGGTTGCAATCAGTAGCACCAAAGTGTTTAAAATATATTATGCCATCGTACATCAAAGGGCCCCCATCACCCCCTTTTTTTAATTTATCAATCAGGTGCAGTCAAAGCACCTACATAATGCAATGTTTAATAATTTATTTTTATATGTTTTAATGTAAATCCTGCAGTACTCTGCAGTAGCCTCCCTCTCCCTCATCTAAAAATTCTACTATGATAAATTAGGTGATTGGCGCCAACTGATTGCGACTATACTTATAATTATTAAGTAGTACCTACTTATACTCATCTCTTATTTTAGACACTTGTATATTAACATACTATATACTATATATGATAAATTTGCAATGGTAATAAAATAGGCTTAAAAGGTTAACTAGTTAATAAAATTATAAATTATTATGTTTATTAGAGGCTATCCATTCATCCGCCAACAATGCTGATACTTCTATCAAACAAATTGAGCTGGTGGCAAGTATTTGGCTTACCAAAGCAAATGAAAGGTGCAAACAAGCTGCAGAAACTCCATTATAATTTCAACACTTCAGATTTATAAATAAAAAGTTTTGTTTTTCATTTATGATGTTTTATATATTATTAATTAGAAGTACCGAAGTTGAAAAAATTTATTTGATCTTAAAGATAGATACCATAATAATATCATACCTATATATAGATGGATGTATTTATAGTACCTATATTATATTATGTAGGTATTAACATTACAATTAGCATATAAACATTGATTATGATTTATGAATATAGTACTCATAATTATAATGGTATTATTATTATTTAGAGATATGGAATGAATATTCTTGAAAAAGATTAATAGAAGATAGAATATCTCTAGATGTAAATATATGGTCAGCTTATTTTGCAAGTTTTGGTTATGCTGAATGTAAGGATATATAAAGAGCACATATTATGAATAATCTACGATTAATACATATGTTTGCTATGAATATTCTAATAATATTTTATGAACATCCTAGTTAGTCAATGAATATTCAAAGAATAACTATAAAATTGTTAGTAAGAATATTCTTCTAATATGAATTAAGCAATTTGCAATAATCATCCAATGATTATTATATGAATATTTGGGTATATGACCTGAATATTCTTAAAAAATATTTATAGAAGATAGAATATTCATAGAGTATCTATAATCGGCTCATTTTGCTAGTTTTGCAGACCGTAAGCAGATTTATAGAACAACTATATAACAATCACGAATAAAACATATCTTCTTTATGAATATTCTTATAATATATTAAGAACATTTATGTGTGACTTGGGCTACATCATTTAATAATAATGATGAAATACGTATATCAATCCAGCAAACGGATATCTACACGAAAGCTTTATTTTTTTGGACGGAACAATTACTGATGCTACCAAAGTGAAACTAACTAATAACGGTTACTCTTACCTCTTCGAACAAATACGATTGGAAATCAACGGGATAGAAGTAGATAGCACACGTGTTCTTGGAATCACTAGCTCGTTGAAAGGTTACTTATCCGGTACGCCAGATTACTACAATTGTTATGAAAATGCTGGCTGGAATTTTAAAAACGCAACGCAATCGGAAAATGACAAAGGTGAATTTAGTGCTTGCATTCCATTGAAATATTGGTTAGGATTGTTTGAAGACTATAAAAGAATATTAGTGAATTCTAGATTGGAGTTAATATTATCCCGAAGTCATAGTGATTTAAATGCTTTACAAGTTAAAAGTGGTGCAACTGCTACTGAAGGTAAAGTCACCTTAAATAAAATAGTCTGGAAGGTGCCACATATAACGGTCGACGACGAAGAAAGGTTAAAATTATTGAAACTTATAGAAAAAGAAAAAGTCTATTTATCCCTTTTTGATCTTTTAAAACTTTTGAATAGCCTGAACTCAGAACCACTAAAAAAGTTGTATGGAATTTGAAAACTGCTTCAAAGTTAGAAAAACCACGATTTATCATAATTGGATTACAAAAAGGACGCAAAAATTTGCTAACAAAAGATTGTAGTATATTTGATCATTGTAATTTAACAAACTTTAATCCTTTGACGAGTAAAGACGTCAATTGACGTTTTTTCTTATTATGCCTAGTAGAGTAACGACGTCAATTGACGTTTTTCAGTTATCTCTGTGTTTAACGAATTTTTAAGAAAACTGTGTTGATTTTATGAATATGTACGTGATAATGAAATATTTACTCCTATCTATTGGCTATGAAAGTCAAAGAGAATGATATAATTAACAGTGTTCACTTTATAATAAAATAAAAATTAATTTAAGGTTTTCATGATGTGTACTGTTTTTGCCTACACTATGATATATTGTATAATTACGTTGTTGTTTTTCACATTGGATAAGACTGAAGCTGTCGATCTACCCGCCAAAACATTTAATTTCCTTTATCACAATATATTTCATTAACGTTATAATTTGATTGATTACGTTCGGAACAGAGAAAAATATTGTATTTTTATGTTAATTAGATGTCCAATTTATAATAGATAGTTTATTAGTTATTAGTTTATTGATACCTACTACCTTTATTATTTTTACAATGTCTTCTCTTTCTCAAGATCAAATAAATGAATTAATTACCAATGCTGAATCTGAGGACGATGAAGATGGCTGGTCTTGGGATGGTGACATATCAGATTCTGAATTGGAAGATGATAGTTTAGTAAAAACTATTAGGGAAAAATTAGTTTCTAAATTGTGCAGTACTCCAGTAAATACTTCAAGGAATCTTTACAGCCAGTTTCCCAGCTCAAAACCAACATCAAGTATTCAATATATTTCTAATGATGACCAGGACATGTATTGTTTTGCTAGTTCTCCCGAAATTACTGTTAATTCTGATTTAGATTTTATAGATATTGAAAATTTGCCTATATTTTATGATAATGGTGTTAACATTTCAAATATTTCCAATGGTCTTATGGATGTTGATGAAAGTATAAAAATACAAGTAATAGTATTAGTGACAACATAAGCGGTGCAAATAAGTGCAGTAAAAAAGGTAAAAATCAAAATTCACCAAAACAAGTGTTTTCTGGTCAGTGGAACTTTAATGATGATGTATGTTCTAAATTTATTCCAAAAAAATTCAATTTCAATGATTCCCAGTCTGGTATAATTTAGATTTTATTGATGATTTAGCACCTGAATTTTCTGAGTTGGATATTTTTAAAATGATTTTTGATGAACACTTAGTTCAACATATTGTTGAAGAAACAAACAAATTTTTTCATTTTATAATAAAAAATAAAGTTTTACAACAGCATTCTAAACTAAAAAAATGGAAGGAAACCAGTGTAAATGAAATGTATACTTTTCTTGCTTTAACACTTTTAATGGCACACCAAAAGAAAAATAACATAAAAAATTATTGGTCAACATCACCACTACTATTGACTCCTATATTTGGTAAAACTATGAGTCAAGATAGCTATTTAATAATACTTACCCAGATAGCATTTTCGTAATGATAATATCTAATTAATATCATATCTTCATTATAAAAATAATATTATCAAATAAATATCAATACAATTTCAAATAATTATTTTGTAACATAATATTATAAAAAATTGAATAATATGACATCATAAACGAAATGATAAATTGATAATCTGAATTAATTGTCATTATGTTATTAAAAACGAATTATCTAAAATATATTTTGGATATTATAATATTATGATATTATAACAGAAATAATAATATTTTAGTCTGAAAATGTGTTTAATATATTATCAAAACCGAAATATCTAAATTATATTTTAAAATATGATTATTATGTTATCAAAAACATTACTATTTAGCCGGTTAAGTAGGGAAAATGTGTACGGCGGTTGCGGTTTGGCTATACGGTGTGAGCAAAGCTGTTGTGCACTTATACAGAGTGTTGCGGCTTTCGATTTTTGACATTTTGTCATCGCCAGTGCGCAGGCGTGGAGCGTCATAGAAATATTTCGTAAGTAGCTATGGGTTGTGCCCGCCCACGCGCTTGTCATACCGAAAATTACCCCTCCCCCTTTTTTTGATTTAAGTATATCTCGATTGGGTTCTAACTAGGGTGCACCGTTTCTTCACCAAAACAATTGTTTCGAGCCCCCCTAAATAGTCCACCTATAGTCGGGGGGCTTTCGACCCCCCCCCCCTCAAAGTTATTTCGGAAAAACTCGGGATGTCGTCGTACGTTACTGAAGCTTCGAGATTCCTATAGTGTGGAGGTCGGTGATTAAGTTCGGCGTCTTGTGTCGAGACCGTACGAGCCTTTTTTACCCGTCTTTGGGGGGTTCGTTTAGGGTAGGTAGCAGCTGTTTTCGTGTTTTCCGGCACGGACACTTAGATTTTGGACGCTACGAGCCGTTTTGTAGTCGGACTTTATAGATCACATTACGCCGGAACGATTGGGACCGAGATCGAGTTGATCCAACGTTTGGTTCGGGAATTATGATTTTTAAAGTGTTTTTTGTACTTGGAAAATTACGTATTCACGTGTTTTTTGGATTTTTTTTTTCCCGTCGATCGCTACCGAACTCGAGAATCTGACTGTTTGGCGTACGGGGATTCGAAAAGGCTCTATGGTTCGAGTACGTACAACCTTTATTTCGCCCGCAATCGTAGTAGCAAAAAGTTAGAAAACAAATTATGCTATTATTCGTATTACCCAAGCGTCTCCTTATGGTATACGTCTGTATAACGTATCAAGTAATAAATATTTTGAACTTTTTTTTTGAACTTATTTTAGTAGGCGTGTAGCTAGTTCGTTATTCATTAATGTAAATCGATAGGTGCATAAGAATAATAGTTGGACATAACTAATACTATAAATGTCAGGCATTTATTTAATTTTTTCGTGTTTTTCGGCCTAAATATCACGTTTTTTTGGCTTTAAGTAATTTTTTGTAATTGAGTTTTTTGCCGATTATTTTAAATTTTGAATACTGGTCTATCAACGCACGACAAGTATGTATGGTTCATTGGTTGAAACGCGTAATACTCTTATATTTACCCCGTAATTTGGGTGCTTAGAAGGTAGGTAAACCGTTTGAGTGCTGTTTGGTGTAGGTATCTTATCGTCACCAGATATAATACCTGTCAACCTATGTAATTTTTTATTAAAATAGCGTTCTTTTCGACTGTGCCCGATTAAAATTGACCGTGCCCTCCCACAACGTTCTGTGCAACTCGCGTTGAGCTAGGGACCTCGGGCGCTTTTCCGGCCCCCCCCCCCACCTCTGGATGTCTGGCGGGCGAACGGTAAGGCGTACGTCCACGCGCGATGGTTCGTCAATCGCAGTGTTGCCAGGTGAAAATTTCACAGGTTTCGATATTATCATCAGAAAGTTTCGATTACACTTGAAATTTCCCCAGATTTTATTTAGACTCAGACCTCGCTTCGCTCGGTCTTCGCGGATGGTAACACACCATAGAGTAAGAATATACACACCAAAGACCAAACTTGTGAATTGTATATTGAATGATATACCATTTAATTATGATAATTGATACCAGCTACGAAGTACAAGGGAAAAAATGTTTGGGTGTTATCTTAGATTATACACCAACATGATGAGTAAATACCGCAGATAATAGATATGACTATATAGATCGTTACATATTGTGCAATGATAAAATAAGTCTCCTTTTAATTTTTATACTTGCCACTTGGTCTCAGCCATCGACTAAATAATGGGTTGTTCAACCAGTCATTGCAAAATGTAATATGTATGTGCATACGGCTTTTTTTTGGGTCCAAATGAAGATCTCCGTTTAGATATTTGATTATCTTCGTCAGTTGAACCGACATTGTCAGAATCAGAATACATTTCAAATATAAATAACTGACGTCCACGACTATGACACACACTAACTACGAATTAACTAATTAACTGGCTGAATGACGAGACAAATATACAATAACTGAATGATTAAAGACTATATACTAACTACTAAGTATATTATAGAAGTCTTCTATACTCTATAATCGCAAACATAGAACTATATCTGTGTCTATAATTAAATATATACATATTTTGGTGATCCAGAATTTGTGATAGTAATATTCTTATCACAAATCGCATCGCTTCATCATGATTTAATCACAGATATACACAATAATTGTATATATCTGTATTATATGTTATTGTATATATATATATCTGTGGATTTAATAATAATATTATGCTTATCATAAAATTAATAAATAATAATCAAAGAAAAGTAAACTACGAATTTCATATTTCTTTTTCGCTTTCTCCAGGTTGGTATTATTTCTCCAAAATTTCCTCAGATTATTTATTTCTCCAAACATTTCCTCAGACCAATCAAATTTCTCCAGAATGAGGAAATTTCCCCAGACATGGCAACACTGGTCAATCGTCACACGCCGCTCGATGAGACGAATCCAGGGATACCAGGCCCGACGAGGTCCGACAAATAGCGGGTGGGGAACGCCGTTTTCCATATTTCCCCTATACCATATCACGGCCGCCCAAAGCTGCTCGGGGAAAATGGAAAATACGCGCAAATAGGTAGCTGTTATTCCTTTCGGCAAGGTACGCTCACTCGCGCAAGGCGGTAGGCTCAATCGATTGCGTTCTGTGATTGGCTGATAGTCATCGGAAACCGTGGTTGACCGACGGCGGTATTATCACCTCTGTGTTTACAGAAAACCATAAAACGATATTATATTATAACTGCCGAGTGCCGGATAATAATAAAAATATTTTCTGTATAGTGTATGTACACTATTTTAATAATTGTTCAGACTGTGTTATTTCTTAGATTTCATGATATTCTGTGATTATTATATTATATAATAATAATAAATATAATAATATTTATAAATGGATTTTCCAAATAGTTGTACATCGATCGGCCGCCGGCCGGACGAGAGCACTGCGCACCACTACCACCACTACCTACCCGCTTACCCATAGGCCACAACGTTGTTTACCGATAACGGATAAGGTTATTTTTGTTTCAATTTAATAAAATATTTTTCTGGCGATGTACTACACGACACTGTCAAAACTACGCTGCAATCACTAAAAGTGACAACTGACATCAAAATTCCTCTCATCTATTCAATAACTCGTACCTACCTACGCCGCGTCAAGAGTCAAAACGTATCATTTAATTTTGGTAAGTACCTACGACCTACCTATAAATTGTTGTAATGTTTAAATGTCAATTCATTATATTATTATACACACATCAATTTATTACGTTTATATGATGGCGTTAAAACGGTTTAAAACTAAACCGTTTTGAAAGTTAAAACGCTCGCGCTATGTAGTTTAAGAACTTAAAACCGTTTTATTTGCTTAAACCTGTATATTATGTACATTTGATAAACCGGTTTATAATTGTAATAAAATATGATCTTGATCATTGAAAAAAATAAAAATAAAAATTTTAAAAATTTAAATGTTATAAATTTCATAAGAAAAATACGTATAGGTAACATACTAACGTATATAGTACTTACATATAAGTTTGATGTGATATGAATATTCATTAAATCAATCATAAAATTTCTCCATAGACCTAACCATCTACTAAATAAACCTAGGTAAATAAATATTTTATTTGGATAATAGGTATGTTTTTATACAGGTTTTACCTACCTATTTGACATTTTTCTTGTTTAATTTCTATAGCTAGGTACACTTGTTTCATTTTATTCAAAACATATTTACCTAACTAATCTCTTTACAACATTTTGGTTTATTTTATATTTTTATATCTGCTGTACCTAGTCATCCTTAATAGTTGTAATATCTATTTTTTCTCTTTAGAAATTATGTCGTTTCATAAAAAGTCTAACTTGAGTATTCGGTCTAAAAGGAGAAGAGTTGAAGAACAACTGAAAAGCATACCATTGTTCACATCTAATGATACTCAAAACATTCTTTCAACATCAAATTTAAATTTAAACCTTAATGACTGTACATTTATGTCCTCATCTAATATTGCAATTGATATACCAGAACAAACTTCCAAAACAAACTTGTCTTTTCATACCAATTTTGATGTACAGAATAAAAGAAATAATAGTCTTGATTCAGATATTAGTTGTAATAATCGGTCTTCGTCAGATGAAAATAATGACTCAATTTCATTAAATCGTGATATTAAATCTGATCAAGTATTAGTATCGTTAATTGCAGAATGGGCTGTAAAATACAAAATAAGTCATATTGCTCTTGACGGTTTATTATGCGTTTTAAAACAACACAAATGTTTTGAATCAATACCCAAAGATTCAAGGACTATTTTGAATTCCAAACCAATAGATGTTTCTAATTTGCACTCAGTTGAACCTGGAGAATATTACCATTTCGGTCTATCAAATGGAATAAAACAAAATATTTCAAGTAGTATACTACAAAATAATAATACGTCAGTTATCCAGATTGTTGCTGGTGTGGATGGCCTCCCATTATTTAAAAGTAGCCCTGAACAATTTTGGCCAATATTGGCTTATATACGCCCAAAAAGTGATGTGTTTCCGATTGGCATTTACTATGGGAAAGAAAAACCATTAGACAGTAACAGTTTTTTAAAATATTTTGTCGAAGAAGCAAATAATTTAATTAATAATGGTATAGAAATAGATAACAAAGTTTTTAAAGTTAAAATTGATGCTTTATGTTGCGATGCGCCGGCCAAGTCTTTCTTGTTAAAAACCAAAGGCCATTCTGGTTTCTTTTCATGTTCAAGGTGTGAGCATGAAGGAGTATACTTATTAAACCGAATATGTTTTCCATACACAGCACCAGATCGACAACCTCCTAAAAGAACGCATCAGAATTATATTACTAAATCCAAAGAAGAGCACCATATTGGAAACATTTCTGTATTAAGCACTTTAACAAACTTTGATTGTGTCAATGATTTTTCTCTGGACTATCAGCATTTAGTATGTTTAGGTGTTGTGAGAAAATTAATTTTATTATGGGTAAAGGGGCCAATTCCAATACGTTATGCATCATGGAAAATAAAAGAAATATCGAAGGCATTAGTAAGTTTAAAAACTAACATACCCTGTGAAATGGCTAGAAAACCAAGAAGCCTGGAACTCATTAATCGTTGGAAATCTACAGAATTACGTATGTTTATAGTTTATTTAGGTTGTACTGTTACTAAACCTGTATTATCTAATAAACATTGGACACATTTATTTAACTTGAGTTTGGCAATGGTAATCTTATTGGGTCCTGATTATGGTTGTCATCTTGATATAGCACAAAAACTTTTGAATAATTTTGTAAAGAACTTTGAAATTTTGTATGGACGGCATCTTATATCTCACAATGTACACGGATTAACTCATTTATGTGATGATTTTATTAAATTTGGTGCATTGGATAACTGTTCAACGTTTCCATTTGAGAACTTTATGAGTACTCTTAAAAATCTTATAAGAAAACCAGATAAGCCACTGATTCAAGTCATTAAAAGGTTTAATGAAATGCATGCACTAAAATCCAATCCTCAAAAAAAAGAAAAAATGTATACATGTACTGGATCTCATACTAGCGGGCCACTTATAGAAAATAAGGAGGGTTTGCAGTTTACTACGTTAAAGATGGAGAAATATACTATTAAAACACACGTTGAAGCCGATAGATTTCTTTTAACTAATAGTAATAAAATTGTTAAAGTTTTTAATATAGTTGATCAAAAAAATTCAATATATTTAATTTGTAAACAATTTGAGGACATCAGTACTTTGTTTGATAAACCAATTAAATCTACAGAGTTAGATATCTATGTTGTTGCCAAATTAAGTGATACACTAGTCTGGTATTCCATTAACGATATAAAAAAAAAAATGATTGTATTGCCTTCAGATAATAATTTAGTTGCTTTACCTTTAATTCACACTTAATTCTTAAAATACTCAAAAAGTACAGTGTTTTTTTTTAAATCCTTTATATGTATGTATTATATTAGTAGGTAGCTTATATTACTGTTAATTAGTTTTGTAAATAATATTATACTAGATGAGAATAATTAATTATATGTACAAGAAATGTATTTATTATGACATTATGTACCTAATATATTAATTGCATTTGTATCGATTAATTTGTTATAATGAAATGAAAATTAATTAATTAGATCTACTATAGGATAAAATAATACTAAGTCAATTAATTGTTAAGATTATTATTATTATTTTTTCTAACAGTGGAAAAATCTTACAATTATGTGGTCAGTTATTCATTTTGTTGAAGACAATACCGTTGAAGTTGTACCATCGTTTTGGGTCCATAAAACTCACTGCTCATGGCCAAAAAAAAATGCAACACATTTCATAAAGCGAAGAATTCCTCCAAATAAATTTGATTTTGATTATTTACAAGCCAAAAAATTATGTAGTGATTTAGGTAGGTAATACAAATTGAATAATTTTTGTATCTGTAAAGTTGAATATTATTTTTATATATATTACAGATGACTATACTGTAGCTAAACAGAAGGCAAAAGCATCTGAAGACACTTCAAATATTTCATCTTCAAATGAAACTTCTGAAGAAAGACTCACACGGTTCCAAAAAACTAAGAAAAAAGTCATGAAAAATGATTTAAAAAAAATTGAAAAACTTAAGTGGAACACTGACTCTTTAGATAGCCCAGGTAATTTATATTTACATTTTGTTGTTTATATATACCATTTAATTTTAACTTGATCAATTGTTTAGCTTCATCTATCAACGAAGAAGATGATGATTCAGACAAAGATCCAAACTATTCTAACACAGTTATTCATGAGGAAAATATTGTTCTTGGTATTATTATTTGTTTGTTATATTTCTCATTATTTCTTTATTTTTGTGTTTGTTTTATATACATTCTTATAACAGATAATTATTATTAATACAAATTTCAAAATTGTTCTATATCAATTATTCTATAAAATTAGTCAGTACTAATTATTCAAATAATAGTTTATTTTTATTTTACAGAAACACCACCTTCCAAGCAAAAATTAATTACTAAAGATCTTCCAAAAACTTTTCCTGGTACATCATTGTTCAAGAGAAAACTAAATTTTGATACAAACAAATGCAAATCTCTGAGCCCTAAATCTAAAATGTGTAGTAAGTTATTTTATATAATATTTAAATTTATTGTTTAACTTATGTTTCAATATGTATATGCTATATTAATATCTAAAAATAATCAAGATAATTAAAAACATTATGAGGCAATATTTTATTTTATATTAATTTGTTATAGATGTAATCAATTTTAACGAAGTTGAGAAGATCATAACAACGTCATCATCACCATTCAAAGTAACAGACAATAATCTATCATCTAATTCCACTCCGCATTCTAATAATGGTATCTATACACTATTTTAAAATGATAATACACCTATTTATTTTTAATTTTTATAACTTAAATTTGTGTGTATATGTATATGGGATTTAGGTAGTAGCTAAGTAATAACAACTAATAATTATTCAATACGGTGGCCCTGAAATTTTTTAAATGTGGTTAGAGCAAGGCAGATATTTGATTCAATTTTAGGGGGGGGGGGGGCTAAAGTCTTTGATATTAGGAAAAAAAGTCCTCGGTAAGTCACACGGAAAAAAGTCTCCCGTTACATATATAAAATATTTAAATATAGGTATTAATTATAATAAATTAAGAAGGGGTAACTACTATTAAAAATTGTGTAAACATACTACACCAGATTACTGATAATCACGATTTTTTCCAAGATTTTTTTTTTGTAAAATTTCTTAAATGTATTGTTCCTTGATCTACTCAAATCTTCAATAATTTTGTGTTACTTACACAAAAAATGACCAAATTTTATTTGATATCAATTGACGATTCAAGATTAATATTTTATTTGAATTCAGTATTTTTTCATATAGGTAGGTGTTTATATTTTATAAAGTTACATAGGAAATACATGTTACATTTATTGAAAATACATGTTACATTTATTGAAAATAAATGTTTTTGTTATATCTATATTATTATATAGCATTTTCTATACACCATAAACTTTTCAAAATATATTTGACTTGTTTTGAGCTGTTTTCCGTTTCCAATTATTTTAATTATTTTCTATAAATGTCGATAATAAAATTGTATTCTATGATTATCATAGTAGTTAACCCTTCGTTAATTATTTAAAAATTAAAAAAAAAAAATTATCATGTTCTACCTATCTACAGATTAGATTTGTCAACCTAATTTATTTTATAAATAAAATTACAAGTATAGTGGAAATATAATTTTATTTATACTGCAACAGAGACTTTTTTCCAGGGGTACCTTTTTCCTTTTAACTAAGTGTTTCTGTACAAAATAAGAAGTGGGGCTTTGAAAAATGTTCAAGAATTTTGTAGGGCTTTAAATCTGTTGGGGGGGGGGGGGTAAGCCCCCCAAGCACATTCCAATCGCCTCCTATGGGTTAAAGAATTTCAAAACTTTGTGTTTTCAATGCCTAAATTATTTATTCTAGAGTTAGCCTAATATATGTTTAGATACTGATAATCATGGCTTAAATATACTTATGATGTAAATTAAACCATGGCCTAACGTTAACATGGAATTCGGTGCCACTAGTTCAATACTTTTATTAACTTAATTAATAATTAAGTTAAAAACGATAAAACACCTTATCAGTAACTCAAATTTGAAATCATAGATATTTAAAGTACAATACATATAACTATTAACTATATACCATAGACCAACTCATGGCAACTGCATATAATCGGTTCTCTGTTCAACAACAAAAAAATATAAATTAGGTACTTTAAAAGAAACAACTGTGGTATATTATACATTATTATTTATTACTGTTGTTGGTTCCCAATACCGCAGAAACAGCTTATTTTTATGCCGTATACGGTATAATGTATATATACCAATATTCAGGATATACATTTTCCAGAGCCATATACTTGGTTTGTTTTATCTCACGTGCATCGGGATAAAATGATCTGATTCTCTAGGTTCCTTTAAGATTGTTATAATCGGATTCTACTGTATGTAAAAAATTTCACATACATTCACTAATTATTAGCAAAAATTATTTTATTCAATTAAAATTAAAATATTCTTTGACATATTTTATATTTATATTTTTAATCATTTAGATATTTTAACAAAAATCAATAGAACAACATTAAATACATGGTATGAAATAAAAGGTTTAGTAGAAAGGATTGAAAGTCTTGAGAATGCACTTTTAAACAAAGGTTCCAAAGAAGTATTCAATGATGATTCAGATAATAATTTCATCTTTGCACTACCACTATCAAATGAAGACGAATTGGAAATCTTTGAAGAAAAACTTTTAGATACAGTATTTAAAAAAAAATTGGTAAATAATTAAATATAATTTAATATTAAAAATGTATAAGATATAATTAACTATATTGTACATAAATATTTTTAGATTTCAGAATTATCTCGTTTGGTGCGTGGAACTCTACCAAGCACGGTGCGTGCAATCATGCGATACATGTTTAAAGATATATTATTGGAACAATATAGTTTTAAAGGTCAGAAAAAAAAGAAAGTATTTCATACTTTAAAAAGTTGTTCAGTTATTTTTGGTGAGTGAAATTTAATCACCTTAAATTAGATGTTGAATCATAGAATTGTTAATTGTTTGTTTTTAACATTATGTTTTAATCATAGATTCTATAAAAAAAATTAACAAATTTCAAAATTTTAATTCAATTGATGTGGAACAGCCAATCAAAATATTTATTGCTGGTGCCAAATTCAGAAATAAGTCAGAATCTTCTGAATTTTAGCTATACAAATTGCAAGTTATTATCATTTGATACATATATATTATCTATAATATTATGATTAATAAATTAATTAATTGTAATTTCTCTTTTATTTATAATATAAAGTTAAAACAATTTTTCTTGTAATAAAATTTCATTATTCATTTCTATTATTACTAATAATAAGTTAAAATTTAATTTTTTCATAGAAGAAGTAATGAAACTTACCAATTTTATTTCAAAGGTTTTTTTTTAATTCGGTACAGTATAAGTTATTAATTAAAATACTTATATTTATTATACAATTGTAAATTGTTATAATTTGATTAAAATAATGACAAAAAATATTGTTCTATTTACTATACCTCTTTTATAAAAGATAAATTCATTTTTTATGTAATATATACTAAACTTAAGTTTTAGGTATACATATTATGATAATATTATAATCAATTTATTTTCACCAATTTTTTTTAATATTCATTGTTTACACAATATTTCTTTTGTAATACGTTTATTATGTATAATACTTTTTCTACATATTTTCAATTCAAATGTTTGCATAGAACTGTTTTTATTAATTGATGTAATGATAGGTACACAATAATCTGTTATTTACTTATTTCTAATAAATTGTTTGTATAAAAATGTAATTATATGCACAATATGCATTTTATTAAACTATAGAGTTAAATTTATAATATATTTGTATTTTATTAAATATTATAATATTTAAATAGTATAATATTATTTAAGGTATGGAGATTTATTTAAAAATAAAATACATACATACATATTAATGCCAATAAGTATATGGATTCAAGTGTATAGGAATGAACAACGAGGGTATAAGGACTAAGGAGCTTTAACCAAATTATTCTTAGACTGCTGATGATATACACATATTTTTTTAGGTAGTAAAAAATGGTCTATTGTTCTTGAATGTTACTACAAAAAGAAAGTATACATTTTATATTAATATATTAATTTTTGTGGCTTGATGAGGTAGGTCCGTACACTCAACTGTGGAAACACTCTTGAGTGTACATATCAGCCGGCGTTGCTAGCTCCTGGATGGGGCAAAAAATCCTTGCCACACATACAAACATGTTTCAACCTACCATTCCTCCCCCCCCCCCGCTTCAAATAACCTACAAACAAAAAACAGCTAATGCCGTTCTGCCATTAAGCTCAATTAAAAAAAATTTATATATTAATAAAATGAGAATAATATTATATCGATAATACAATAGTATTGTTTTATTCTTATTTTTCATAAATATTTTAATGATAATACAATTGCATTATTTCATAATTAATAATTTGGTAATATTTTATTAATGTCAAACTCGGGGCCAACCGTCATTTTATAATCATTTCTAAAACATTTTTTCAACGAATATGATGAAAAAAAAAAATATTTATCGAATGATATCATACTAAAAATAATATCAAAATAATGATAAAAAAATCTATATTTGCTATCTGGGTAGGTTATAACATTTTTGTGATAACCAAAATCAAGTACAAGGTAACAGGCTTTTTAAAATTGATACAATTGTCGAATCTCTTAGAATGAAATTTCGCTCAGTTTTTAAACCATACCAGAAGGTATGTGTTGATGAGAGTATAGTTGAGTGGAAAGGGAGACTTAAGTTCAAACAATACATACCTTCTAAGAGGCATCGTTTCGGAATCAAATTATTTGTCCTTTGTGATTGCAAAACAGGTTATGTTTTGGATTATTTAGTTTATACAGGTGATAACAAACATATAAATTTTAATGAATCATTGAAACAGTCAGGTTCAGTTATAACAACTTTGATGGAACCATATTTAAATAAAGGTCATATTATTTATATGGACAATTGGTATTCTTCTCCATTACTGTACCAATATTTGTCAGAACATAACACTGGTGCCTGTGGTACAGTTAGGAATAATAGAAAAGGTATTCCCATGTTCCCAACAAAATTAGCTCCTGGTCAATGTATATCTGCTATAACAAAAGGCATGATGACTTGTAAATGGAAGGACAAAAGAGATGTCCATATGCTTTCAACTGTACACGACACAAATATGTCAGTGACTAATAAAACTGACCGTGTAGGAAATAAAATTAAAAAACCTGACTGCATATTAGATTACAATGTAAATATGGGTCTCATTGATAAATCTGATATGCAGATGTCATTCAATAATACAGCCAGAAGGTCTATAAAATGGTATAAAAAGTTTTTTTTTTCATCTGCTTGATTTATCTGTCCTCAATTCTGGCATTGTGTATAATTCTCTGAAGGAAACTAAATTGAAACTACCAGAATATCGTTTAAAACTAATTGAACAGTTACTTCAGACTTATTCTTCTGGTACAAGTCAAAGTCGTCCAGGTAGGAAAATAATAGGAGATTATCGTCTCACAGAACGTCATTTCCCATCACGCATAGTTCCACCTGAAGGAAAAAGTAGAATTAAAAAAAAATGCCAGGTTCACTCTCAAACTAAGTTAGATGTCCAGTGTAGAAAATGTCTAGAGCCATGTTTTCAAAATTACCATACAAAACAAAAGTATTAATTTTATTCTATTTATTTATTTTTATAATAAATATTAAAAACTGTTTTAATTTGATTAGTTCTGTTATTATTATATATATATAATATATATTATTATTATTATTTTATTGTATTAGGTATATACTGTAAGTGATTTTTATTAGAATTTATTAATTGTTTTTATTCAAACAATAGTTTTGTTACATTTTCATTGTTAAAAAAGGTTTTTATTTTTATTGGAATTTATTAATTGTTTTTATTCAAACAATAGTTTTGTTACATTTTCATTGTTAAAAAAGGTTATTATTTTTATTTGAATTTATTAATTGTTTTCATTCAAACAATAGTTTTGTTACATATTGATTGAAAAAAGGTTATTTTTATTTGAATTTATTAAAATTTCTTTTTCAAAAAGGTATTTTTATTTTTAACTATATTGAATTATGTTTTATTTTTATTCAAAGAATAAGGATTTGTACTGTTTATAATATAGTTTTTCATATAGGTAGGTATACCATTTTTTTTAATTACAATCAAAAACGATAAAAAAAGAATATACATTATAAAAACCGTAGGACGTCAATTGACGTCTTTACTATTTGAACGCAAATATCTAAAACGTCAAATGACGTCTTTACTATTGTAACACAAATATCTAAAACGTCAAATGACGTCTTTACTTTAAGCAAAATACCAATATTTTTATAAAAACAATTCACTCTCTGGGTGATCGATACCAAATTATATCCACTCGTCAAAGGGTTAAAGTATTTCTGAACTCTATAGTTTATCCATACGATAATTTGAATTTAGATTTTACTAAAAATAATTTCACCTTATTATATAATATGTATACATCGTTTTAAGAATCATACTATGAAAAAAGTATTCGTAACCCGATATTGAGTACTTCTACTTTTCTGACAAACGCTCCAATTATAGTTATCGATACTTCGAAACAGAACGATTCAGCCACAGCCTCAGCAGTGGATGTTCAATTGGAAATTGAAGCTTCAGAATCGCTCACAGGTGTGGCTGCTTACTGTTTCTTAATTCATGATCGTATTGTAGAATATGTACCTTTTACTAGAGAAGTAAGAAAACTTGTGTAAATATAATTAAGAATTTATTTGTAACAATAAAAAAACTATGATTTAATAATTTGTGTTTTTTCTTGAAATAATTATTTTAGTTTTAAAATTGGTAAATGCTAAATATTTTTTGTGTGAGCCGAAATTTGGTAAACAATCAGTGTGAAATGTGTTACACGGTAAATCTGAGTGCTCCAATTGGACATTCCCCCCTTGAACTTTTTTTTTCTCCCTGGAAAAGCAGGCTGTGAACATACAAATATATACTACTTATGTACACTGTTCTGCTCACTTATTAAATCTTATCGTATCTAAATCATGTTCTCTCCAACCTATAAGAAATTGTCTTGGGGTAATAAGTAAAACACGGGATTTTTTTGTGTATCCAAAAAGAAAATCAGTTCTCACACAAAAAATTGAAAATTCTCCAGACAATCTCTCGAAAAAAACACAGCGCTGTTGCGAAACTCGATGGATCGAAAGGTATCACTCAGTTAATATTTTTTTAGAACTTAACGATTTTGTTGTAGAGTCCTTAAATGATATTTCAACATGGGAAGACAGTGGTACAAGTGGGAAAGCACAGTGTCTACGAAATTCAATTTTGAAAATAAATTTGAAAGCATTTTTAAGGAAGCGTTTGAGATTGCTGATAAATTTGAAGTAGTCATAAAGGTTCCAAGAACATCAAATAGACAGACCCTAAGAGTTAATATAAATACAACATCGGCAGAGGAATATTATCGTGTATCTGTATTTATACCATATCTGGAGTCATTTGCTAATGAACTAAAAGAAAGATTTATTGATCACGAAACTACATTAAACTCTTTTCATTCTTTATTTTCGAAAGAAGAATTAGATGACGACTTTATGACATTGGTTAATTATTACCAAGATGATCTGGAAAATGGAAACCATGCAATTTTGATGGCTGAATACAAATTGTGACAAAGGTGCTTAAAATATTTGAGCAAAGAGCCAACTAATGCACTCCAAGCTTTATCGTTTTGTAATAATGAAATTTATCCTAATATTTACAAACTTCTTCAAATACTAGCCACATTACCAGTTTCAACATCATCTAATGAACGTACTTTTTCAAATCTTAAAAGAATAAAAACTTATTTGAGGAACACCATTGGAGAAGTAAGTAATAAAGGAAATCATAATTCATATTTTACAATATTAAATATAATTTGATTATTAAATATTTCAGAAAAGATTAAATGGTCTGGCTATGATGTGTATACATAAGGATTTACAATTAACGGCTGACAAAGTTTTGGACGAATTAGTAAAAAAAAAAACGAAAAATTGATTTTGTGTTATAATAGGTAGTTGTAACTAAAATGCTGTTTTTTTTTTTATCTTCTTCTTCTTTGGCTTTTTACAGGCCTTTAAGGCCCATTGCCGCAACAACATATTGTCTCCAATCTTCTCTATCTTGTGCCGTTTCTTCAGCATTCCTTACTCCCAGCATATTCAGGTCTTTTTTTATTCTATCTGTCCATCTTTGTCTAGGTCGTCCTCTGGGTCTCTTTGCGGTTGGTTTCCATGCAGTTATATGTCCGATTAGTCCTTTTGATCTCCATATGTGTCCGGCCCAGCCTATTCGGGCGCTTTTCAAGATCCCAACAATATTGGGTTCGTTATATAGTTCTTCTAAATATTTATTGCTTCGTGATTCATATTCTCCTTCATTGTTTTTCTTTGGGCCAAATATCTTCCTCAAGATCTTTCTCTCAAACACTTCTAACTTTTTTTCATCTGACTTTGTCGTCGCCCAAGTACTGCTTGCATACAGAGCTACTGGTCTGACTAGAACTTTATATAATGTTACTTTGGATTTTCTTGATAATAGTTTTGACTTGAACAATGGTAATAGTCCATAGTAACACCTGTTCGTTGCGATGAGCCGTTTTTTCACTTCTTCGTGGCTATTAGCATCTTCGTTAATATCTGCACCTAAGTATTTAAAATTCCCTACCCTTTCAAACGTGTACTCATTTACTTTCAAGGAGTCTGGTCTGTGATTGTGTCTAGATACTATCATGTATTTTGTCTTTGTCTCATTTATTTTTAAACCAATTTTTTCCCCTCCTTTAGCAATATATCTGTTGTGTTTTTTAGGTCGTTAACTGTTTCGACTAATAGGACTATATTATCAGCGTAAGCAACAGCTGTTAGATGTTGATTGTCTTTTATTTCTATGCCCTTGCTTGGATATTACTGTCCTCATAACTGATTCTAAAGCGATGTTGAACAGTGCTGGTGATAGAGCGTCACCTTGTCTGAGTCCAGTCGTCACCGGAAACATATACGATCGCGTTATTTTTTAATATTTTTAATAGAAATATGGAAAAAAATGCAAAAAATCTACAAAATCATTCCCAGCTTTGCAGATACCCGTTAGGAAAAAAGGAGGCCGGAACTCTTTTACAGATATCTGCAAAGCTATCGTGGGCAGTGAAGTTACCCAAGTGCTTTATTCAGCAGGTCAACGACAGTTTTTCAGTAGATTGCATAGGTGTGTGCACCCACCTATACAATCTACCGTAAACGTCTTCAAAGCCTGATGAAATTAGTAGATGAATATGGGCACCACACATTCTCCCACTAGTTTCAATCCGACCAAGAACACATTTAAATCAAACGCGATAACCACTGAGCTACAACACTTGGACATGTATAATGATTATTTAAACACTATTTAAATAATTCGATAAAAAAAATCTCATAATATAAACTATACATACATATTATGATAAGATATTCAATACCGGATGTTAAAAAAATAATCAGTCCAACGTTGATATATATATATATTATTATTATTATTATTATTATTATTATACCACACTGTATAGGTACTATAATATTATATTCGATTTAAATTTTCGATGTTTAAAAAATTTTATTTTTTTATAATAAATAATAGTAATGGAAAATAAAAATCAAATTAATGAATTATCTTTGCCAAAAACTATAAAAAAAAAACGATAGATGCTAATAATGTAAAAAACGAATTTGGTCCATATGAAATCAAGCATAAAATTTACAAACATGAGCAAAATAAAGCGGAATCGTTTCGCAAATCATGTGTAATATTCAATAAAATTAATAAAATATTACAAATAAAGTACATTAATCAAGAAAATACTTTTACATCGGAAGAAATGGAAGAAATAATACCGATACGAGCAATGTATTATTGCAGTCATGATTGGAATCAAGGTGCAATATCTGAATTAATTGATTTTCGAAAAAACTGGAAATTTCCTATTTTGTATTCTCAAGTTCGTGGTGATTATATTCCAACTTGGGATCAATGGGAATGTTTTGGTATGATAAAGTCTGAAATTACAATATCCCAATTTATTAAAAATTTTAATCATGATTTTAATTACACACTTGGTTTTTTTTTCTATAATTACATAGATAATAAAGATAAATTATGGTTATCAATTGATATAATTTCGAGTTGTCATTTTATAAAATATACATATGGTCTAACTCCTCAAAACGATGATACAGATAAAGAATATGAATGTGTAAATATTAATTGTGAAATAAAAATTGCTAATAAAATAAAAATAATCGAAGATGTTAAAAACAACGTTAACGTTTACCTATAGTTTGTATAGGTACTATAATATATAATATATAATACTTCGTAAGTATTATATTCGATTTAAATTTTCAGAGTTTAAAAAATAATCAGTCTAGCTCCATATTATTATTATTATTATTATTCGAATCATGTAATTCCTCTTGTATTAATTTACGTAGTTCGTTTAGTGAAAGTTTAATTTCATTATAATTTTTGTTTTTAATAAAACTTAAAATATTTTCGAAACAACAATTACTAATGAAATGGAAGTTAAATGATTTTAATTTATTATGTTTTTTGTAATAAACATATTTTGCAACATTTTCGTAACAACAATTATCCAATATTTGATTCCATAACATATGACTAATTTCAGAATCAATATCAATATAAATATCACTATCATTAAATATAGGTCTTAGGATTTTACGTTGTTGTTCAATCATATTTAAAAGTGTTTTCATATTTTCCATTTCTATTATTTATATTAGTAAATATTTTTTTTAACATCGAATTATTAAAACATACATCAAAGTGTCTGACATATATATATTATTATTAAAAAAAAACCGGACTCACACGGTTCATGAGACAGACGGACAGACGGATAGACGGACGTTCAATGTTATTATGTCTGTCCGTCTGTCTGTCTGTCCGTAAATATTAACATTGTTATGTTATTTAGAAATAAATATAATTTAAATACGCGATTAAAAAAAAAAAAATACATCTCTATTATAATAAATAATAGAAATGGAAAATTTGAAAACACTTTTAAATAAATGCAACGATCAATATGATTTTGTAAAAGTATGTGACTTAGAAAAAGGAAAAAAATATGAGGTTACTCGTTTCAAAAATATTGATACAATTTATGATAAGACAATCATTTGTTATATTAGATAAAAAATTGCAAGTATTTTTACCAGATAAATTTCTAGATGTGTTTACAAAAGAAAATATTTCATTATATAATCTAAGTTCGAAAAAATTTAATCTTGTTTATAATGAATTGCAAAATTCAGATAACGGAAGCACAACGCAATTGATACAATTTGAATTAAATAAAACGGTTGTATTTATTTATCAAACAAATATTATAATAATAATAATAATTATAAAATAGGTCTGGATTCAATATTTATTAAAGGGTTAAATTGGTTTAATATTGAAACAGATTGTAAAATACAAATTAATGACAAATTTATAGAAATAAAAAAAGGAGAATATAGTATTAATGAATTAAACAAACTATTTCAACCTTTAGTGTTATTTTATGTTAATAAAAAATGGAAATAAAATCTCCTTGTTATTATAATTTAGATGAAAATTTAAAAAATTATTTAGGCTTTCAAAACATAACAATTGATTTTTTATTAACTATTAATAAATCAGTAATGTATGTTCCTACTTCTAATGATCAATATATAAATATAGAGAAAGAATGTCAGATTAAAATATATAATGAAGATGTAAATTCAAATACAATTTATAAAATACCTATTGGTATTTATTCATTAGCTGAATTAGAAGCAATATTGAATACTGATAGAAACGATGATATAATACTTACAATAAATGAAATTAATTAATTAACTATTGATACTAACTTGCATGATTATAATATCGATGCTTATTTAATGAATCCTATAAATTATTATACACAAGGTTTTTTTAAAAATTTTAATGGTGTTATAACGAGTCGGAGTAATAACATTAAAACTATGATAAAGGGAAATTATTCAATTGATCAATTGAATAGTAAATTACCATCAGATATTAAATTTCAAAATGATAATAATTGTATTACATTTACTTCAAAAACTGATTTTTTGATGGATGAAAAAAATTTAAAAAAAGTTTACTGATTGATAAAATGTATTTTTTATATAAACACATTGGAGAAGTCTTAAATAATAATAATATAAATAAACGATTATTAGAAGTACATTGCAATATAATTGAAAAATCTTTTTCATCTGTTAAGGATAGCCATCACATCGAGGAAGATATTTTGTATAATTTTTATTATGATTATGATAATCCATATACAAAACCTAATTCAATAATATATATACCAGTTAAAGGACATTTTCAAGAAATAAAAATAGATATTATAGATCAAAATGGTAAAAATATGTTTTTGATAATGATGATTTTATTGTTTATCTTGATTTAATTAAAGAATAAATATTAAATTATTTTTCAATAGAAATATTCTATTGAAAATAATAGTTACTAGGAGATAAAGGTTGGAGTACTCCAACTTTTTCTTTTTTATATTTTTATATTTCTTCAATAGTACCTCTTTAAACATGAAACAAAAATTCATCTTCTCTTATGAAAAAAATATAACAAATTGTATCTTTAGGTAAATCTTCAAGTAACTCAATATGTAAAATAATATTTTTTTCATTAGACAGGATACCTATTTTCTGGTTGATAAACTGTTTTAGTTAGAAATATTGATCTATATTCCTTAAAATCAGTTGGATCATTATACAGTCGTTGCCAGATAAATTGAGCCGGCGGCTTTTCAGTAAGTGTAGCCCAAACTAGTAGCTGGCAGTGTGGTGCATAGGTCACACAGTTGGCTACGACGCGCGCAGTCACCAGTTCAAACCCGTCTCAGTGCAAACAATTTTCTGTACTCTCTCTTCCATGCCATCGTTCTGGCTGCAGTACACTGCTAAAAACCACTAACCTAACCCGGTGTGTTTCAAACGCACGGCACGGCGGGTCATCAACAATTTGTAAACAAAAAATGGAATCTATGGGTAATTCCGAGTGGTTAGCAGTTTGTGCAAACGTGAAAAAATTAGAAACTGAAATGTGGAAAAATGAAAGTTATGTTGACACCAAAATGGATAAATTAATAGTAACGTACGGAGAAGATACAACTGACGACAGCGATCCAAGTACTGAAGATGAAGACGATGATTTAGGTGTAGCACCACTACAGCCATAACAAACTATTTTTATGTATAAATAAATTGTAATTTATAATATTATAATGTATAATTTATAGTTGTTGTTATTATTTGATCATATTATTAATATTATTTATTATTATTATATTATTTTAAAATGTCTGCTTTTTGTTAAAAGATTATTATCAGAATATTGGATTTTAAATTAATATCGTAAAATAATTTTTGTAACAATTATTGGTTTATTGATGTATTTTCGGTAATATTATTGAAATACGGAGAACCACTGGTTTTCCGTTATCGCGCCGCCGCCGCCGGCTCAATTTATCTGGCAACGACTGTAAACACAGCTTTGCTACAGCTCTCCTACCTGGATTATCACCTAATTTTAATTTATCTAATAAAATACCCATTTTATCGAAAATTGTTTTTATATACTCATCATTACAGCTATAATTATGTTTTGAACTTTCTAATTTTATTTTTATAAAATTATCTACATAATCTTTAAATAAATCTGTTGATTACTCTTCAAAATGCCACAAATCATAAATTTTTGTAATAATATATCCTTTTTCCAAATCTTTATTAACTTCATCTGTTGTCCATGTTCCTATAAGTTGGCTCTCATTTTTAGAATGATCACATCTTTGATTTTGGTCTACAGCACATTTATAACACAAAGGAAATAATAACTTTTCACTTTTTTCCATTTTTATTTTAACTGGGAGTACAGGATGATAAAGATTTCTTGGAGGTAAAATTTTACATATAATTAAACCAAACCATTTTTTATCATATTTTTTTGGATTAAATATTTTTACGGGATGTCCTTCAGGATAATAATCATAATAATTCACAGTTGGATATAAACTACATACATCAATATAACGCATTTTTGTGTTTTTTAAACTTAATTTTGTTGCATTTGTTCTACCTCCAAAGAAAGCATCTCTAGGATTAATAGGGTCAGCTATATCAGCTTTTTTCATTTTTTTGTTTGTAGTGGTATTTATAAAATCTCAGTTCGTGCCTGGACACCGTAGAGGCCATACGTTATCCGCGCACCGTTTTTATTAGCTACCGATAGCAGTAATAGCAGCAATTAAGGCACACCACATCACACTGGTAATGTATATCAACATCTTAGGTATAAAGCCCATTAGATAATTACCGCAACGTTAACTAAATCGTGCCTACGGGCGATAAGCCCGCTACGCACATTCGATAACCACACACACGCTAACAAAATGAAACCAACAAATTCTAAATATGTACGTAAAATACCCCCTATAACTATCAGGAAAAATAAAATAATACTCACAGGTGCCGACAGCTCTGAACCATCAACTCCCAACTCCGACAACGAATTTAGATCACCAAGACATACGTCAAAAGCCTTCGAACTGCCGACTAGAAGCCCCATCAAGCCCACAACAAATCGATACTCTATACTAGCCGAAGACACCGTAATTAACGATCAAGTAATGGCCAACTGCAACAACGATAACTCACACAGTTCACAAACAGAAAATCAAAACAATTACAATATCGAATCACAAACAAATGATAGCGCTCCTAAAATACCACCGCTGTGCTAATATAACAAAATTCTCACAGTTTCGTTTTGAATTATCAGAAGTCATTAAAAATGATTTTACTGCCACATCCAAGAATGATAAAATAAAAGTTAATGTTGAAACCGTTGACGACTTCCGCACCTTAACCAAATTCCTTGATGACAAAAAATACGAATACTATACATATAGATTAAAAGACGAAAAAGACATTTCCGCAATAATTAGAAACTTACCCACATCAATAACCGAGTCTGAAGTTATAGAAGAACTAAAAAGACTTAAATTTCCTGTTAAATCGGTCCTAAGACTAAAAAACAAGAATAAGACACCAACCCCACTAATGGCACTTGAGCTGGAAAACAATCCTCTATCACAAGACATATTTAAATTAAATAAATTGCTAAATTGCATAATTATCACTGAACCACGCCGAAAATCAAACGATCCTCCACAGTGAACAAATTGTCAGAGATACGGCCACATTCACAAACCATGCAAACTCCAACCTCGTTGCGTAAAATGTAACGAACCACACCACTACTCGAACTGCGAAAAATTACCAAATATACCTCCTACCTGCGTCAACTGTAACGAAACGCACCCGGAAAACTACAAAGGCTGTGCATACTTCAAAGCAATCAAAAGCAAAAAGTTAACCAACTCCCAAAAACATATACAAACTAGAAGCCTAAACATAACAAACCCAGAAATTAATGACAATGCAAATAACCTCACCACAAGAACCCCAAAACCCACATCATATGCTGATATAACCAAAGGGAAAATAAACAACATAAATGTATTCAATTCAGAACAAATGCCAAATGACTTACTAAACGATAATCTACAAAAAACAATCACAGAATTTATTGAAAATATTCTCCAAAATATCCAAAATATCATAAGCTCTATCTTCAACTCGATAACAAATAATCTATCTCTTCAAAATTTAAATGTCTGTAATTAATTTAAATTACATTAATTTAGTCAACTGGAACGCCAACGGCATCAAATCAAAAAAATCATCTCTTATGGAATTCATAACAAGACACAAAATAGACATTGCCTGTATTACAGAAACCCACCTAAAAAATCACGAAAAGTTTAAGCTAAATGGCTACAATATCTACAGAAAAGACAGAGATGCCATACATTCATCCGGAGGAATGGCCATTTTAATCAAAAAAATATAAAGCATTACCAATCAATTACCCCCAATATGCTCAACTTAGAAGCCATCTCAGTAACTATTTCGACAAATAAACATCAAATAAAAATCATCTCGGCCTATAACCCACCTAACAAAAAAATCCACAAAGAAGATATATCGAAAATGTTTGACAACCACCCAACGATACTCCTAGGAGACTTAAACTCCTAAAAACCAAATATGGGGATGTTTAAAAACAAACCCAGACGGAATCAAACTTCTTCAAATCACATCCGAACTCAAGATACTAATATCCCCACCATCTAAACCAACCTTCCAACGATCTGGAAGAATTCCAGACATACTTGATATTGCACTAATATCAAACCTACCCACCACTCTTCACCATCAAGTCATAAACGAGCTTGACTCTGATCATGTTCCAGTCATCACCACTCTTAACGAACCTTTAATAATGAACCAGCGCGCTCCTATACTAATAACTGCTCCAGAAATGGGCAAGCGTTCAGAGATTACTAAACACAAATCTAAGCTGCACCAGACAATATAAAAATCCAGAAGACATTAACACTAGTATTGAATACTTAACGGACACAATAAAAAATTCAATCAACCAAGCAATGACTAAAAATAGCAAAACCATCAACCACTCACCTGCAGATTCTCTTCCAACCTCGATCCAAAATATTATAAAACAAAAACACAAAGCGAGAAGAATCTGGCAAAACACCAGAAACCCTGCCGTCAAACGAAGACTCAACCAACTCACCAGAAGAGTTAAATGGGAACTGGACAACCTTAGATACAACTCATATAGAGCATACCTTAACAAAATAAACCCTAATGACTCGAGTCTCTGGCTAGCGACCAAACGTCTACTTAAGCAACAAGACGTAATTCCCCCTCTGAAAAACGGACCAGCCAAATTCGAAACAAATGCCGAAAAGTCTTCGAAAACCATTTCGCATCCTGTTTTACCCCCGTAGATGAAGATGCCGTACATAACGATCAAAGAGAAAACTTAGATAAATCATTGAACGCGACAAACAATGATCAAGACCACAACAATATCATCATCCCAACATCTCCCAAAGAAATACAACTACTCATATCTAAATTAAAAAATAAGAAAAGTCCGGGTCACGATCTAATAACTAACAAAATCCTTAAAAACCTGACATCAAAAGCGTTATCTTACTTAGCTTCCCTATTCAACGCAGCTATGCGCATCGCTACCTTCCCCTCTACATGGAAACACGCTATAATAGTCCCTATTCACAAACCAGGAAAGCTAGCAAACTGTCCCACCAGCTACAGGCCAATTAGTCTACTACCAACATTATCCAAATTGTACGAAAGGATATTGTTGGAGAGAATAAAACCCTATCTTCACGTTATCCCTAAACACCAATTCGGGTTTAAAACCAAACACTCCACATGCCACCAAATTCAACGTATAACTGAAATAATTGTATACGGCTACGAAAAAAAACAATATACCGAAAGCAGCAGCAGCATTCTTAGACTTAACACAAGCTTTCGATAAGTTCTGGCACCGCGGGCTTGAACAAAAATTAAAATTACTAAATCTCCCTACATACCTACTCAAAACCATCACATCCTTCATACTCAACAGATCTTTCAAAGTTAGAGTAGGATCAGACTTCTCACAATTACACCACATCAAAGCTGGAGTCCCCCAAGGATCAGTCTTGGGACCTACTCTGTTTAATATCTATTGCCATGACATCCAAATTCCCCTCAACTCTCAATTAGCTATGTTTGCGGACGACACGACAATTATCACACAAGATAGCTCCCTTAGATGTAGCAATCCAAAACCTGCAAATCTCACTAAATGAAGTAACTACCTGGTTCCAGAAATGGAAGTTGAATCTAAATCCAACAAAAAGTGAGGTCAAAATATCAAAGGTGGGCATTAACTTGTTAAAAAGTTAAAGTTAAGTTAAAAAGTTAATTTTTTTTTAACTTTTTAACTTAACTAGTTAATTATTTTTGTTTTTAACTTATTAACTTATTCAGTTAAAATGTTTATTGTTGTAACTTAACTTTTTATAGTTAATTATCATTGTCGAGCAGTTAAGTTAATTTACTTTTGAGTCATGGGTAATCAACTAGGAAATACTGATTCTTCGACTTTTTTACAATTTTGGTAATTCATTTTCGAATTATATATTATAAATTATAATAATTAAATTGTTTACACAGTGTTAAATGTCTTGGTAAATGTTTGTGTATATAAAATACTATGGTAGTTTATGACTTAAAAATATTGTACCTTCAAAAAAATTAACTTTTTTTTTAACTGAGATAAGTTAATTTTATTTTCCATCATAACTTTAAACTTATCGAGTTAAATTTTTTTCTTTGTTAACTTTTAACTTAACTGAAGGCAATTTAATTGAATTAACTTAACTTGCCACAGTTAATTATTTTCATTAACTTGCCCACCATTGCAAAATATTCACTCTTAAGAGATATCCACATAAACAACCAGGTCATCCAATGGAATAAAAAAGACGACGCAGTCAAATACTTGGGTGTCCATCTAGATGAAAAACTTACCTGGAAAATTCATATTAACAAAAAACTTGTTCAGGGCTATACAAGGATGAGAACTCTTTACACTCTAGTAAACTACAAATCAACACTACAAATCAAGTCATCACTCCTCCTATATACCTCAATAATCAGACCGCTGTTAACATATGCCTGCCCTGTTTGGGCAGCAGCCTCACCCACGAAAATTAAAAAAATCCAAACTCTCCAAAACAAATTCCTCAGGATCTCCCTAAAAGCACCATGGTATATGAGGAATCGCCAAATCCATAACGACACCGGAATACCCCTAATAAGTACCTGGATAAAAACCCAATACAAAAACTTTCATGCCAAGTTAAAAGAATCGGACGGCGGCCGTCACTACCAACTATTAAACAAAACCCAAAATAGACGGCTAAAACCTCGACTGCCCCAAGACATACCCCCATCGGACAACGAAGAGCCCTCATCAGAAGATGAAGAATAAACCAAAACTTTTAATATTACTATATTATATTGTATAAATAGTGTTATTACTATTATTATCACATACGACATAAATTCAAACTTATTACCATATCATTATTATCATCAATTTAAATGTAAAGGCTAAATCATAATTGTAAATATATTTGTAATAGCACCTGGTGTGCTGAAACATTTTTAGAGAATAAATAAAAAAAAAATAAATAAATAAAATCACATTCCCATTGCTCAAAAAGATTATAACCAGCTTTTTTTATTGCTGTACTTCTTTCAATTGTTTTTTGATACAAATCATCCATTGTTTCATGATTTATATTATTAATAGTTTCTCGATCTTTTTAACATTTAGTACAACCGTGCCAAAAACATCCATGATATTGATAAACCGTTTTTGATTTATTATCAAATCCATCTACTTTAGCTCCTGCTATTATTATTTCGTTCCCATTTAATGCATGTGAGATATTTTTATTATTAAAATTTTGTAACCACGTTATCGATTGTTTTGAATAATTTTCATTTTTTTCTTTATCTAAAACAGCTATAGTATCTTCTAACAAATATTTTGATCTGTAAATACTCATACAAACACCTGCTATAGTTGTATAGCAAAAAGGATCAATGCTAGCTATATCCAAAAATTGTTTTCTTAATTCTAAACATCCTCTTCGTAAAATATCTACATCTGAATTACAGTAAGCCTCTAATTCTTCTTTAAAAATAAATATATAATTTTCATTAATTTTTTCATTATACCATTTTTCAAATTCTAGTTTATTCTCTGGTTTCATTGTTTCGAATCCATAATATTTTTTATCAGGTAATTTACCAATATCATTTTGATTTTCTACTGTATTAAAGAAATGCGGAAAGTAACCTTTTTTCAGTTCTTTGAGACCAAACGTTTTGGGAAAACTACTGAGAGGACCTTGAATAAAATTAGAACTATCTATTATTCTTATTTTTAAATATTTAATTTCTAATAACATTAATTTTGTACCATTATAAATTGTAAATGGTTTCATAGTGTTATCAACCAAGTATTTCAATATAAATTGTGAATCGTATCCTTTTAAAGAATGTGCTATAAATGTATAACCCCTATATTCCTCAGATATTACTTGTTTACAAAATTCTTCATTTGTATCAAACATAATTTTATTTCCTTCAAAATCATGAGCAATTATTTTATTTGCGATATGAGTTCCTGTTTCTTGTTGAGCTTCATAATCAAAAAACAAATATTTTTCTGTATAAGAACATTGATATGGTTTATTTGTACCTCCACATTTTGTACATCCTACTAAGCATTTACCTCCTTTTGCTAATCTACTTTGCATATAACATTGATGTTCATTTATTTTCACTTCTTCTAGACAATTTCTACATTTACTATAACCACAATTATGTTCCCTATCTCTAAACAATATTCTATTACAATCAATACATTTATATACATAGGCACATACATATTCGTGATTATCTAAACATTCTTGATTATAACAATATCTATTACATTTTTCACAATATATTTTATTTTTTGTACTAATTGAATGTTCAAATCTCTCACCATAATATGTACACAATTTACATATATTTTTATTTTTATTTTTATTTTTAATACATTTATGTTTATCTTTATTTTGATATGGTTTATCGCACTTATTACAATAATAACACGATCCGTAGAAAGCTTTAGCTGATTTAATAACATCAAAATGATTACCATTTTTATACAAATACATTTTAGTTTCTTTATCCTCACCCTTATAAATTAAAGTATTTAAATTTTCAGCACAAATAACATTTATTTGAATATCTAGTGTAAGTTCCACATTCTTAATATCATTCAATGTAAATCCTTCTTCGTTATATTCTGGTAACATATTACATAATTCTAAAGCTAAATCTTTTTGAATTTTTCTACCTATCTTCAATTGTTTAATTTTATTGGGATCTAATTTATAACCTAAAATATTGTTTGTTTGAGTAGATAATGCAACAACAATAGCTCTCGGACAACATAAATTATCATCGTTATTAATCTCAATTATACTTATTTCTGTTTTTATATTTTCTGATAAATTAATTATTTTAGTTCTCCTTGAACCTCTTGGTATTTTCACTAATTGAACTTGAAAAGTAGTTTCTGTTATATCAATTGTTTCAGCTGAAGTTAATATGTTAACAATAATTGATTTTAAGTTTGTTAAAAAATTATCAGATTTCATACCAGTAGATATAGTATTTTTTAAATTTGGATTCATCACTATAATATTTATTAGATCACCTTTTTCATAACTTGAATTTTTTTTTACAAGTTTTAACATGGCATTTAGAGATTTATGTACATAATCAATTTTGTATTTTGCATTACATAGTTATAGATCTTTTATTAAACCTTCTCTAAACCGAATTTTATATTCAGCTTCGTGTATTTTAAATTTATTTTGGATTTGTTTATTCATTTGAATTATACCTATCAAATCATAAACATCTGATGTTTTTTCTAATGAATTATTAAAATAATTTTCTTCGGTGAAAATTGTTTTTTCTAACTTCTGAAATGGATTATTGTTTAATGAACTATTAAAAACTTCATCCTTGAATATATCTTCTTGAAATTTACGAAAAGGTTGTTGCTTTCTTGTTAATTTAATTTTTTTTATTAAACATTCTTTATTAAGTTTGTAAATTTGTTTTATATCAAAACTTCGAGCTATTGACTTAAGCTCAGAGACTTTCATATTTTCTAATATGCTTATAGAATTTATATTTGCCATTATTTTATTATTTATTATATTTTTAATTTTTAAATTAATTTATTAAATTTCTTTTTAATACATTTTGCAATTAAATATGCTTTTCCAATTTTTATTTTTGATAGAACAATTCTATTAAAAAATGTTTTGGGGATTTTGCATTTCAGATTTTTGAAAAATATTTTAAGTAATTATTGCATTTAAATGCACGTGTGCTGAAGTCCCCCATAGGAAATTGTTTTTAATATTTTTGCATTTCAATTTCTATGAAAATTATTTTTAGTATTTTTGCATTTCAGATTTTTTGAAAAATATTTTAATAATTATTGCGTTTCACGATTTTTTGAAAAATATTTTAATAATTATTGCGTTTCACGATTTGCAAAATAATTAAAGGAATGTTGCATTTCAATTTCTATGAAAAAATATTTTAGGAAATATTGCATTTTAAATGAAAGTGTACCATAAAGACCCCTAGGCCACTTATTAACTATATTGTATACTACAAAATTCAGTTAAATACTTGTGTAGCTATAAATTACATTTCACTATTATTAATCGCTTAAAAATAAATAACATTTAAAATACTATGCTAAATATAGTATTTTAAATCATCAAATTTATACTTGCAATTGTAAATATTATTTGTAAGAATATTTAATTTGTTATATTTTAATACTTTAATCAAATGCATTTTAGATGATTTTGAAAAAGCCAAACGTAAATTAAAAAAATCCGAAGTACATTCAGACTTTACCACAGATGTGGAAAAAGAAAAAAAAGCCGAAAAAGGCGGAAGAAAAAAACAAATGTTAGTTCTAGTGACAATTCTGAACCTGAAGTAATGTCCGCAATTAAAATAAAGCCATTTCCTAAACCACAACCAAGTACATCATTGCCACAAAGTTTATATTTAAATGAATCTTCATTGCAATGTTCTATTGAAAATGAATTTGGTGGCAATGCAAATAATATAGACTGGGGTAGTTCATTTATCATAGCAGATACTAATGCTGTGGAATTAGATGACCATCAATCTTTAAAACAAGTTTCTTCACCAACTTGTGATAATACGGCATTACTGAATGCATCAGAAGATCCTTTAATTAAATCAGCTTTCTACAATAAAACAAGATCTAAACTGCCAGAAATGTCAGAGAAAGGTATTTAATTAGTTACAATAAGTATAAAATATATAATCTACATATTTCAATTATTTTATTTCAGATTTCAAGGAAAGAGTCATTAGAGATATTTCTATTATTAAATTAAAAATAAAAAAAATGGAGGAAAAAAATAACCAAAAATGTTCTGATAATAGTGACGATTGTGAAGCAGATGATACATTGATAGTCAGTAGATTTCCTTTATCTGACGAAGACCAATTAAAAACTATAGAAAATAAACTTATTTCTGATAAATCGTATAAATCCAGTCTGGTAAGTTACTTTATCTATCAAATATTGCCGAATTATGATTCCTTGTAATTAAACTAAAATATTTGTAATCATTTAATTTATGTTTTTTTCATTCAGATGAGAGCATTAAGTAGAATTGGAGGAACAAAAGTAGACGAGGCAACTAAATTAATTCTGAGAAGAATATTTTCTAACAAATTAGCCATGAAGTATAGTTGGTTAGGAGGAAAGAGAAAATTAATTTTTTCCAATTTATTGCTGTCTAAAATAATTCTGGGTAAATAAAATGTATATTTCTTAATAAAATTAAATCTATGAAATGTGTATTTGGAAATTTTGTACATGTCTTTAGTTTAATGGAGTCATCATAACAAATGTATAAAATGATATACCTAATTGTTTAAAATATTTTTTATTCATTACGGAAACTGTTCTTAAATTGATTCCTTTGTGTACCGAAGCTGAAATTATTTTGTCAGTTAAGAACTGGCTGAGACATGCTACAAAAAGACATGAAAATAGGTATAATATACACAAATTTATTACCAGTATACTTATTACAGTGAAACCTCAATAACTTAAATCGGACACAGACAAAAAAAAAATTGACTTATTAAAATGTCAGTTATAGGGAAAATTGTATGTACAAGTTGAAATTTATAAGTTCAAGAAATTCCTTTGAATTATCTAAAACTTGAATTAAAGACATTCGAGCTATCGAGGTTCCACTGTACTTTTTGATTATAATATATACATTTTTTTATTTTAAAGTTAGATATTATATGCATTTTATTGTTATTGTTTATTAAAAAAAAAAAATATTATTATTATATACCTAATATATATTAGGTGTGTGCTTTAATTTGTATTAAGGTATATTAAGGTATTAGCTACATGTATTTTTATGCTGTAGTAGTATTTTTTTTTCAGAGTTGCATATATTATATAACATATTAATTCAATTTTTTTTTCTACAGCTTATAGGTGTGACAAAATTCCTACCAGGTACTATATAAGTACTGTATTCCTATCAAGTACTGAATAGCATCTAAGTGAACTATTTTTTATATAAATACAATAAAATTTAAATTGTTTTTATTATTATTTTGATTTTAAAATTGTATTTTGTTTTATTTGACTGCTTTTGGAAACATAAAGTTTCAAGCTATTTTATTATTTTAACATAATGTTTTCTTTTTATTATAATAATTACTTGTTTTTTATTGTGCTACCTACTATATATAATATTATTTTGTTTCATAAGACAGCTTTTTGAAGCAAAAAGTTTCAAGTTATTTTTATTATTTTATCATCATGTTTTTTTTTTAATGTATTATAATTACATATTTTTTATTGTTCTACCTACTGTATACATATAACAAGATGTATATTGTATTAGTACTTATTAAATAGCATATGAAGTAGGTATATAATGTTATTTTGTTTTATAAGGCATTTTGAAGCCTAAAGTGTCAAGTTATTTTTTATTAATATAATATTTTGTTTTAAATATATTATATATTATGTTTTGTATTGTATGTTACCTACTATAATATATAATCAAAAGTATTATCAAAAGTTTAAAATTGTTTTTTATCCTAGTTGTAAAAACATTACAGATCATAGGGGAGTATGTATGTGTGTGTGTGTGTGGGGGGGGGGGGGGTATGACCCATGACAAATAAGATAGGTATGTCAGAAATCGTCGTGATACGCATATTTTAATCAAAATGGCGTCCGGCTTTCGCCTATTATCAGAGTTTAAAGATATCACTTTATCAGACATCAGTATTCAGTGGATACTGGATATCAATGTAATAATAAATACAAAATTTTTGGGAAAAGTTTTTGCATTTTGGGTTTAAAATAGGTGTCAAATATTTAAACTATTGGAATTTTAAAACAATTTTTTTTTAACCATTCATAGATAAATAAGTAATTAAATAACTAAAATTATTGAGCTTAATAAGTAATAATGTTAGCCAGTTTTTATTTATTTCGTAAATTTTTGTGTTGTTTTATTTTTATTTTTATGCTTGTTGTTTAAAACATATTTATTTAAATTATTTATTCTAATATATGTTCTAGTACGTACAATACACCTAATAGCTTCCTCAGGTATATTATTGATTTTTTTTATAATATTTTTACTTAATTGTTTAATAATATTTGGTTCTTTATTCAAGTAGTTTCCGTGAAGCTTCCTAAAGTCTATTTCAACTATATTCATGGCATGGAGAAGATCATCAGAAGGTATTTTAAGGTTTCCTTTTGAAATGAATTTAGTCCATCTATCAATAACTTTAGAATCACTTGATTCATTAGTTAGATATGGATATTTTACATAAAACCGATTTGCAATATATCCGCCTACATATTCAACACATTCTTCTTCCAAATCATCAAATGGCTCTATAGTTTCTAGCTGTTAACACATGCATAATAGTTTAAGGTCAATAAGTACCAAGTTATGTATAAGGTAATAAGTCATAATTGGTAATCTTAATTATTTACTTCAAATTTTTCTAAAAGATCTAAATTTGTTTTTGAAATAGATCCTGTCATCACCTCATTTTTAGATTCAATGTGGACAATATTATTAGTGGATTCTGTCACACTAGTTTCTAACACATCTAAACTTTTAAACATTTGACCAACCAAGCAGTCGTTGCTATCCAAAAGGCTAGTTTCGATACCAACTTCAGTATTGGTATGTTCAGTAAATATGATGTCAGAATGTTTTCCCAAGATGTACCATCGTAAGCTGAAATAAAATATTATAATCTAATTGCTAATAATTGGTATACGGATATAGTATATATTATAATTTTAAAACTTAGATCATCAATTTAATTAGATACCTGTATTTGAAATCTAAAGCAGTAATGTTACTACTTGCATACCCACACATTCCTTTTAGGAAACTAAACAGATTTTCCAACACATCTTGGTTTAGTTTCCTTCCTATTATATACGAGTATTCTATGCCATAAATGTTTTTTAAATCATTTAATACATTTTTCAATGACTTATTTGACATTAAAATACCTACAAAGCAAGATAAAAGCATAATACAATATTTTATTTAAAGTACACCTAATTTATTTTTAAAAGTATTCAATAGGTACTAGCCTTTTTGAAAAGGAAGTAATGATTTTTTTCCATTTACTCTCATGCTACTAATAAATTCACTCATTTTATCTATTAAAATGTCTTGATCTTCTATGTTTATTCCATAACTTGCAACTCCTCTGTCAAATGTATGCTGGGTATTGAAAATATCAAACCAGTCATTAAATAATTGTATAATTTCCGAAGCCTAAATTACATTATATATAAAAATGAATATTAATATTAATATTTATACACAGGTATTTTATTTTTATATAATCACCTCTTTCCAGTTATATTTATCTGGACAGTTTTTTTCACCGCAGTACGCAATGGCTTTTGAAACTGAATTAGAAAATACATTTGCTGCTAATCTAACGTTCATGCGGCCTGATCCTTCTACAAAAAGATGACGCTCAGATAGCTTATGAGCAAATTTATAATCTTTACCATAGTTAAGATTCAGAACTTCGTGGAGTATATTTTTTCCGATGAATTTACCATTTGGAAGTATGAACCCACTTAAATTATTATAAATATGAATTATTTTCTTAAAACAAATATTACTTTTACAGAATTCAGAAGTTCTTACCTATCGAGTAAATGGTTTCTAGCCAATTTCAATAAGTGCGGAACATCAGCAAAAACATGAATTCTGGAATTTAGTTTTGGATGTTCAAATGACGTATTGTTAATAGATATGTCTAAACTTTTCCATAAGCCTACATTTGTAGAACCACTGTCACTGACTATTGCAACTACATTGAAACCAACTTCACTTAACTCTTCTATTATTTTATTTAATATTTCTTTAGTCATCCGCTCATCGAAGTTGTAATATATTGGTTGCTTCCAGTTATTTATTAATCCTTTATTTTAAAGAAAAATTATTGTCAGGTGCATTACTTTAGATAACTAGATTTGATTTTTATAGTCATTTTATTTTTTATTTACCTCGTGCAATAACTGTTTGAACAGATTTATGAGGGCCTAAAACTTGTTCGTTTTTTTTATCAAAGCATATTCTCTTTGATATATATGTCTCATCAAAACACAAAATAGTTAATTTGTCATTGGTTTCCATTGTGTCTCCTTGAATAGAATAGTAATGTTAATTTAATTTAGTTTAATTAATTTAGATTAAATTAAAATACCTTTAGATTTCATTAATGACAACACTCCATGTAAAAGACCTGGTTCTACAGAAAATTTTGAAGCCCAACTTCTAAGCGTGGAAAGACCTTAGAATGCATAACTATTTTTAGTATATAGATAAATAATAAAATTTAAAAGTATTGGTCATTAACCTGGTAATGGGAAACCTTTTTTGTTTCTCAAATAGCGGTAAGCTTTTGGAGAGACACTGCGTAATGTTATCGCCGACGATATGTCTTCAGGCAACCAACGACAAATTTTTTTAGTAGGATGAAGAAGAAATTTAATTTGAGTAGAAGTAAACAAATTCGATAGTAACTTTCCAAAACGGCTTTCAAAGCGGTTATCTTCCAAGTTCATACGGTCTTTTAAAGTTTTAACAGTTGTCCTTAATTTATTATTTTCTGTTAATAGAATTTCATTTTTCTTTTTACATTGTTCTAAATCGTTTTGTAATCTATGTATTAAAAGTACAAATATATATTTA